TGTAATGGATTACTTCACTAAGTGGCCAGAAGTCTTCGCCATTCCAAATCAAGAAGCTTCAACAGTTGCAGATAAACTAGTTCATGAAGTCTTCTGTCGTTTTGGTGTACCTTTAGAGATTCACAGCGATCAAGGAATGAATTTTGAGTCTCAAATATTCCAGGAAACTTGCCGAGTTATGGGTACTCATAAAACAAGAACGACTTCTTATCACCCGCAATCTGATGGAATGCTAGAACGATTTAATCAGACATTGGAGAGGTACCTAGCAAAAGTTGTAGACAATCGGCAACGAGATTGGGACAAGCACATACAACCATTTTTGTTGTCATATCGAAGCGCTGTTCACGAAAGTACAGCAGTGACACCAGCTTTCGCAAACTTTGGAAGAGAATTACGGCTGCCTGCAGACCTGATCACCAGGATACCACCTGATGCTCCACGCAGTATAACCGATTATGCAAATTACTTGCGGAAGAAAATGAATGACATTTATGAGCACGTCAGACAATCGGGCCAGCAAATGTCTGAGAAGATGAAAACCCGGTACGACCGCAAAATGAACAATAAAGGCTTCGACGAAGGTTCACTAGTGTGGTTGCACAATCCAGTTCGCAGCAAAGGGAAATCTCCTAAGCTTCAAGCTAAATGGGACGGCCCGTACCGGATTGTAACCAGGATCAACGATGTAACCTACCGGATACAGAAAGGCGCAAGAGGGACTCCTAAGATCGTCCATGTGGATCGCCTGGCGCGTTATTATGGGGCCGATAATGCTCGGGACGAGCATGTCTTAGGAGGGGGCAGTGTTGCACGGCTAAGTTGACATCTGGCACTAGCGCCATCTAGTGTCGGGTAACAGAGCGAAGAGAGAGCTTTCCAGAAAATGACATCACTAATCTTTCAACCGACAGCGCCATCTAGTATCGAATTGAAGAACTAAGCTTTCCGGAAGCCCCAAACTCGAACTTTCTGCTTTTGGTCGGTTGGCGCGCGTATTTACTCGAATATTCTGGAATATTCTGGTTGTTTTCGTGGAAGAGCCCTATATAAAGGCGCTGCAATACGCGATCGGGGAAGTATTGAATTCGGCGAGACAAGCGAAGCTTCGGAGCGAAATAGAGTGAATTATTGTGCTTAATTATTAGTGTTTTAAGTTTCAATTTGTGTAAAGAAAATTAAAGTGTTAATTTAGGTAATTTTATCGGCAATTTTTATTGTCACGAACCTCAAGCTCGTAACAGTATTTTATCGTCAATCATACAAATAGCCCTAAAAAACATAAATAGCTGGTGTAGGGATAACAGTTTATCAGTTAATGCTGATAAAACTGTTATAATACCCTTTACCAAAAAGAGACGGTTGGACAAATTAGTCACACCAAAACTCAATGGTAAAGAAGTACCATTTTCCACTGAAGTTAAGTACTTGGGCGTAACAATCGACCAAAAACTAACGTGGAACTCTCACCTTAGCAACGTATGCCATAAGGCAAAAATTGCTTTAGGTACGTGCAGTCGTTTGGTTGGGAACAATTGGGGCTTGCGTCCTAGTATGATACTTTGGCTGTACAGTAGTATAGTGAGGCCGATCCTCACCTATGCCTCCACTGTCTGGTGCAACAAGGCCAACCAAAAGACGACTGCGGGCAGACTAAATAGTCAACAAAGGACTGCCTGCTTAATGGCAACTGGAGCTATGCGATAAACACCTGGAGCGGCTCTTAATGCACTTCTATGCCTAACGTCCCTTGACCTTTATCTAGACAAGAAGGCGAAGGCCAGTTTGTACAGGATTAACGCCCAGTGTGGTCTGAGCTTGCTCTCCTTCAGATTGAGGTCCATGCTCGACTCAATTAAGGAAACATCGGTCTCATGCATGATCATGATGAGATATCATACGTCCAATATATACACTTTTGATAAAAAGTATATAGTGGAACGACCCTCCAGAGAAAACTGGCTGAATGGCCACATTATCTGTGAGGTCGGTAGCCTCATATGGTATACCGATGGGTATATGTATACATATATATACATACATATATGTATATATATATATATATATATATATATATATATATATATATATATATATATATATATATACACTAGCTTGCCAGGTAGACGTTGTTCTGCCATTTTCGACGATCCTTTGTAATGTCCTATTAAAAATCCTTAAATTCGCAAAAAAAAAAAATAGTGGGTCACTCTGGGAAAAAAAACTGTCCTATCTTTCAAGTTGAACCAAACTGCACACGGTGTGGAAATTTGATTAGAATCGGTTAAGTAGTTTAGGAGTCCATCGCGGACAAACAACGTGACACGTAATTTATATATTATATTAAAGATGGCCCTAGTCGATGGCACGAACTAAGTGGTGGGCGGGGTTAAAATGAGTGCTATCTCAGCCGCCGACATCACGTGCGAAAGCGAAAGCCAAGATGATTTACAACAAAAACGAGCGCGCGAAACTATAAACAGACCTTTTGGGAATCTGAATATCATGAAAAATCTATTGAATGTATCTGTTCAACATAAAATTATTTTCACTTTTGAACACCTAATCTATCCCTGTATGGTAAGTGTTTTGCAATTTTCGTTCTTCTTATGATATTTATTTCCGCCCAAAGATGTGTTAAAATTAGTACTTTTTAATATATTCTTTTTTGCTTCGATACAGGGCTAGAAAATGATGAGACAAATTGAAATCATTTTTTATTTAGAACGTACACCATAAAACAGTGGAGTAATCGCCAGACTACGTTTGTATGAAAGAATGAGTGGCTAGTGTACCCTTAAGAACATATAATACACAGAACATTAAACTATATCTACACTTTTATCTATTATAGAATGATCATTCTTTACTCATTTGCTACTATTATTAAATCAAAATGTTAAACAAAAACATACACGATGCGTGACGTGTACTAGTACACCCTGAGTTCGAGCTATTTGGCCAACTTTGGGTAACTGGATAACTTCACTAAGATAGTGTCTGTACACCCGGAGGTGCAGTTATTGTTTTTGCTTTAATTTTATTATTTTGTACTGTTGTTGTGTTAAATTATTGTTATTCTGTTCTAAGAATAAAATAGAATACTATTTTAATCTTATGGTTATAGAAAAAATACGAATGTAAATAATAAACACAAATTAGGTAGCAAAGAACCTTTCATTACGGCGTTTCGTTTTAAAATACCAAAATTTCCATCAGGTGTACGCCTCAAGCAGCGACCTTTGATATCTTGGCGGCGCCTTTGACAAGATGCGGCACGTGCCAAGACGGCGACGCTCCGACTCAAAACGTTAAGCAAAGCCTCCGGAGACCCCGCAACGTTTTAATTGAACCTCCAGTTCCGCTAGTTTCCGACGACACGAATGTCGCTGGCCCGTCACACATAGACACTACACATTCACCTAGTGCCAAAAACACTGATAGGGCAACGGGTGGGACAGAGCGAGTCCTCAGACGGGCACGCCGAACACCCCTCCACACCACAAACACGCCGTACACCCGCGTCCCTGCGCGATTCTCACCGCCCAGAATATCGAACGACACGAGTTAGCCGTCAAATACCACCATTCAGACGGCCGTTAAATAACTCATCCACGTGCACTGTAAAACGTCATAGGAGTCATCGTTACTTGCGTAATGATTTAAAATTACTTTTTACAGCCCGTAGCCTAAAAGCCCCGAGACCTATGAGTCTGTAAAAGCTAAAAGGCTAGCATCATCAGAAACCAGAAGCCAGCCAAGGCGGCGCGACTCTGGCGACCGTACTACACACGAGTCTTAAGCTTGTAGTAGTGTACCCTATCATAGCGCGGTTACGAAACTCTGCCTTTGATCGGTTTCTTTCAAGTATATAGTATCTGTGTTTTTTTTTACTCTTGTCGCGTAGCTCTACACATATATCATAAATAGATTTCTAGTAAAGGACTTAAATAAAACAAGACAAATAAATAAAAACTTTATTTATTAACACTGAATTCCACATAAAATTTCCCATCACAATAAAATTATTAATACTACTAGGTACATTATAGTTACATCATCACAATGTCAACTTATGTATACATTCAGTTTGTTCCATGTTGTGCCGTGTATTTACATGTGTGTCTAAAACTTGTCACATATAATATAGTTACAAAGCGCTACTTAGAACCGATCAGTCATGTCCTTTACAAACTAATGGCACTCCCTTGTGAATAAAATTCGAACCGGTTTCGTATGTTTTTTGATCCACGTTTACGAAAAATTACTTATCAAGTAGCACCACCAACTTTTTAAGGTTGCAACACACTTGTATCAGCGGCGTTTTAGCATTAGAAATCCTCTATTATTAAGACGACACATCGAAAAAGTGGCTCCAGGCTATCGCCGTACTGATCCGAGTGAATACATGATTTCTATAAAAAGTTGAAAAAACGCCGTCATAAGGTCTAAAGTTGCGTAGCGCCCACGATGATTAAAAGCGCTTAGAAATTGTCAAAAACTTAAAATATTTTTATTTAATAATTGATTTAAGTAATCAAAATAATGAGCAAGTAAATGATGAATATTGATGTTATGAATATATTTGAGTGATTCCCAAGCATATAGATTAAGTAATTTCGTTGTAATTTCAACTAAAGTGATTTTTTAGAGGTGTTTTCGCAAATAATTATGATCGAGTTAAAATTATACAATCGTATTTTTGAACAATCAAATTCAAGATAAAAGACATGAATTTACCTATATCAAAATTACACTTTCGTTAGTGGTGTCATAGTCCTATACTATTCAATGAAAGGAGGTGCATTTTTCGCGGTGTCGCCTTAAATATAATCACATAACTTTAATGCATTTATAAATTAAGAGTAGAATATGTTGCTAGTTATACTATACTATGTTACATTCAGCTATGAAATTACCTAAAAGGCGCCTTTATTACTGTTGAGGTGTGGTCAATTAGTACAAGTGGATTGTAACCCTAAAACATACACACATATAGACTAGTGGCCGTGGCCGTGGCCGTGACCGAACATTGCTAGGCCGTTGTTTTGGTTTGCCGGTCGGGGTTCGTTGTTGTTGTTGTTGTTGTTGTTGCCCTCTGTGCTGTTAATGCTGTTTCGGTTTTCCAACTGTTGCTGCCACATTGAAGCGTAGAACCCGTTTTGCGCTAATAACGCTTCATGACTGGAAATCAAAAGATGAATCAGTTTGATGGTCCTTTCTAAATAATTATTCCAGAACTCCACACTAGGACGTGGTACAACGTGGTAGAGCCATGCTGCAGTTATATTAGTAGTATAGTTGTAGCACGAATGGGTCGGCTCGACCGGGGAAGGACCACGCTCTCACAGAATACCAGCGTAAAATAGCAGCTTAATGCTGCTGTGTTTCGTATGGTGAGTGTAGAGAACCGGAGACCCTTTTACTGGAAACGAGGCATTTCATCTTAGTCCTCACAGGTGACAACGCATCTGTATTTTGATTTTTGTAATCGAGGATGGATGTAGATTGTCTATGGGCTACAGCAACCACTTACCATCAGGTGGACTGTGTGCTAGTTTGCCACCCTACCCTATATAAAAAAATAGGTTTTTCTCCTGTATCGTGGGGGCAATTTACAAACAAATTTTACAAGGACAAACATCCTGACACGGAACAATTACTTGTAGGCCATACAAACACTTGTTCCGTCTAGAATTCGAACCCGAATTATTTATTATTTGTCAGTCTTTCCCTTCGGGCCATTCTTCGGAATGGTTGAAGCGATTGTGATGAAACCTCACGAGGAGCAACGCCAGTAGTGGTCTAGTTTACATTTAGTCCGAAAAATATGCAAGATTTTTGTAAATCCATAAAATTATTTTAGTAAAATATTTCAAACCAACATTTTTCGTTTTGTAGTATCACACTAAAAGGCCCTAACAAAATAAATGATCAATGCTGGATGACCTACGTGTAACATTGAAATGTATTTTCAAGTTATAATTATAGGACAAATCTTGTAAGTAAATTGTGATTTTGCCTTTTTATGCGTGTTTATAGTCTCCCAGCTATAATTATATGTACTTTGGATTTGTATTTTATTTTTATTTCAACACCATTTTAGAACAAAATTTAGTGTAAAGTGAGTGTTATAGAGAATAAGGTGATAAGCTTATAAGACATTTTTACGTGAAATTAATAAATTTTCATTTCATATTTTTAACATTTTTCCATGTCGCACATAGTTTTCACGATAATAACAAAACATTGAATTTCTAAACGTTTTCGCTATAACTATATGCGTCTTTGATTAAATAGCTCAACTGATTTACTAGCTCAAACACGATATAGTTAGACCATTATTTATTTATTTCTTTTGTCTGATCTGCAAGTTTTTTTTTGCTTGAATTCTACGCAGACGAAGTCGCGAGTAAACGCCGAACGCTTAAGTCGTAATTAAGAATAATGAAAGGATATTTTAACAAATGGAAGGGAGGTGCCAATTTTTTTAAATAACCAACAACCTGTTAATAGTGGTTTATTTATTCGAAAAAGGTGGACCCAAATCCTGTACACTTGTCAAGTCTTATGACTACCAGATGGCGGTATAACCAATTCGTTAACGCAGGACGCAAAATACCTAGACAGGCATAGGCGGGCAATTTTAAAGATGACGATAGAAATCTGGTACTGTTATCGTAATTACAAATGTAAAAACGTAAACGTATCGTGACGGTTAAATTACGTTCTTCCTACAACGGGAGAGGACCATGTCCAGAAGTAGTCTCTTAAAAGTTGATAGAGAAGACGAAGAATTCAATCACTTAATTACAAAATTGTTGTTTATCACAGTATTTCTGTGACACGATAATAATTATCGTGAATTATTTAAAAGTAGGAAATCAATGCGTGCAACTTACTTTCCTCTCTCGATTATTTCACCATCCTTGAGAACGAGAATTTCATCTGCATGGATGATGGTGGAGAGCCTGTGTGCTATTATAAGTGTAGTCCTATTCGCACACACGCGAGCTAGAGCCGTCTGCAAAGAATTAAATTTATATTATGTTCATATTTATAAAAGAGCTAGATTACCTTGTTAATGAAAAAGGGTCCACATTCCAACAAAAACTCAAATAGTGTCCATTTCAGCCATCACTGCAGGGTGAAAAGTTCTATGCCACAGAAAGATAGCATTTGGACTATCTTTTCATATTTTGCATAATAGGACTTCATTATTTTTTTAATTCTTTTACTCTCTTTGTCTTTCTTTTTTCTTTCTCTTTTCGTTCTAAGGGGATATCACGTGGGATCTTTTACATAACAACATAACATGCCTTTTTTTAAATAACTTATGTTATACTTAATAGAGCCGTGGTAGCTCAGATGGTTAACCATCGCTCGCTGTAAATATAACAGAACGCGAGTAACCCGGGTTCGATCCCCGCCGTCACCAATGAAATTGTTAATTGCAATTTTAAGTGCTGATTTACCACGCGCTCGGCGGTGAAGGAAAACATCTTGAGGAAACCTGCATGTCTGAGGAATGAAAAAAAAATATATTTTTCAAAGACATGTGAAGTTCGCCAACACGTATTGGGATAGCGCGGCGGACACTTCCATGCCCTAAAACCCTCTCAGAAATGAGGGGACGCCTGTGCCCAGCAGTGGGACGTATATAGGCTGTAATTTTACTTTACATAATAAATTAATTATTCGCTCCTTGAAGTTAAGACAGTGAACGAATATTAAGGGAGATAAGAGGAATATCTGAACCGGCTAGCAATCATAAATGAAATCTATAGAATCTATTATATCTATCTATAATTTTTAGTACACTTTATAATTAAATAGTTTAGTTTTAGTACACTATTTAATTACATATAAAGTGTACTAAAAATTTCGTATTCAACAATGACGTATCTCTGACAGTAAGTCAAAACTAAAAATAATTTTTATGTTCCACATATTATTTACAACTATTTTAAAATTCAAACACGCAGCTTTACAAGCAAACCACGTCAAATATTGATTGATGTGGGTTTAAAGATTTTATTAATTACTCACCTGAATATTTCTCTCCGTGTTTGTGTCCAAGGCGGACGTGGCTTCATCTAGCAGCACTATCGCAGGGTCCTTGAGCAAAGTCCGCGCAATCGCTATCCTTTGCTTTTCACCACCACTGAGACGAAGACCTCTTTCTCCCACCTTTAATATAAAAGTTTTTTTAATAGTATGATTTGATATAATATCTACACGACAAATGTCGAAATTCGCCGACAACTCCATGATGAAATGAATATACCCAATTTTTTGCATTCCTCAAAATTTGTCCATGAGCTATATGAAATATTTTTTTAATCTTAAGCAGATTTATTACACATAAAACGAAAAACGTTATACTGTCATCCAGTCCTACGTTATATTATTTAAACTTTCAAGTCTTTTTTAAATTCCCGATGAGCGGGAAGTTAATTTATACTAAAGCCAACTAGCAGCGATACGAAAGGTCATTTACCTTAAAAACGAGTGTGGAGTTGACAATCTATTATCTATTTCTTTCCATCTTGTGTATTTATCGTAATTAATGATTTCTTAAATTTACGCGAACACTACACATTGAATAAAACTAAATTTACGGATTTTATCGCGTTTATTTCACTACTTTTACTTATTTTTTAATTCCCGACGTTTCGGGTGCTTCACAGCAACCATGGTCACGGGGGGGGGGGGGACTGAGATGTTTGACGTCCCAATGTCATAGTTAGTCCGGCTACCTTCAGTTTTTGAATCCATCCATCCATCTTCTCTATGGGTGCTGCCACCTGTTTGGGATCCTATAATTAACAAAATTAAACCCAAACCTAAGCATACCACTACAAGACTTCATGATACTATAAGCTCGTTTTGCGTAAATCGGACCAAAAATTAATATTCAAAAACTGAAGGTAGCCGGATTAACTATGACATTGGGACGTCTAACATCTCAGTCCCCCCCGTGACCATGGTTGCTGTAAAGCACCCGAAACGTCGGGAATTAAAAATAAGTAAAAGTAGTGAAATAAACGCGATAAAATCCGTAAATTTAGTTTTATTCAATTTATCGTAATTTCTCGTTTTCCCAGCAAAAACATGTCAGGGTCAAGAAGGGTTCGACAACATTTGAAACGCGCTCGTGGGGTGATACAAGTAATTTGTTAAAATTTTTGTTATTTAATTATTGTCATTTTGTTTTATTGATGATAATTGTTTTTTTTAAAGTGGTTAACGATGGAGCCACAACCAAGTACGTCGAGAGAAAAATCAACAGTTTTTACTTCTCCGAAAAAGAAATGTCCAAAGGTATAGGATATATATGAATTTTGTTTAGTAGTTTTAATTAAAACTTCTTGGTTCGGATTGTATTTTAAAGTTATCTTATGTTATTTTAAAAACAGCAACTTTAATAATAAAACTTTTCTTAATTTATTTATGCATGTAAGTAAAGTATGTATATCATTTTAATTTAATTTTTAATTTTAGGTGACTAGTTTTACTACGAAGGAAAAAATATGATGATTTCTTAAATTTACGCGAACACTACACATTGAATAAAACTATTATTTACGGATTTTATCGCGTTTAATTACTTTAATTTATTTTTATTATTATCCCGATGTTTCGGGTGCTTTACAGCACCCATGGTCACGGGGGGGAGTCCCCCCCGTAAAGCACCCGAAACGTCGAGATAATAATAAAAATAAATTAAAGTAATTAAACGCGATAAAATCCGTAAATAATAGTTTTACTCAAAGGGAAAAATATGGTTATTAATACCTACAAATATGTTAAAGAAACTTGGTCTAATGATAAATACCCATACAGAAAAGAGATGGCGCAGAACGTATTTAATTTAAATCTACATTATACAATAATTCAAATTATAACAAAATTTATAAAAAGTCTATTTTTGGTTTACTAGACATTTTTAAAACTATATTGTCTAGTTAAATATGTAATCCTAATAACCTAAAACCTAATAACCTTGCATTGGTTTTATTTACATTTGGTATAGCTTCCTCGTTGGCCGTACTTTAGAATCGGTTACGAAATTTGTAGCATATAGACAAATCAACGGACGGGTACGTTAGTGATTTAATACCATTGTTATTCACTTCAAGTATATCTGCAGATATAAATATAGCATAGACTTTTAACTGCAGATAAATACAGGTGGTCGCTACAAAAATGCGATTAAATTCGCCTCGGTCCTTTATATGAATTCTTCGCGTTTTACTAAATGCTTATGCAACACGTGCAACAAAATCAAAATATGAATCCTATTTTGACGAGCTGTCTAGCAAATCTAGAAGCAATATCCGCCAACTCATTGCAGGTAACACTCTGTATAAACAATCCGCTCCAAAAAACACGTCTAGTAAGTTTGAAGGATTTGAGTGAATGTATCATTTCGTATATTATCGTATCTGCGTAGTCTGTGACTCGCTTTAGTTAAAAATCAAGTCAAAAGACAGGAGAAAGCTAGTTCGTTAAAACGTTTTAAATGGAACTAAAATGGACTTCAGAGTGTCCAGTCGAAAATCATGTAATTTTGAGACGGTCCATATCACTGGTTGTGGATGAACTAAGAATATAAATAGATAGAAGGATGAAATAGTCAACTAGAACAATTAACAAATCGCGGTTGTTTGATAGCAGCGGGCTTCTCCATTATTGAATGTAATTCTTGACAGTATTCATGGAGTCTAACCATAACTGTTTTCATAACATTTACGATTAACATACAAGAAAAATCTACCTTTTATTACAACTGACAGTCCGATTCCGATTCTAATTTTGTGTCATAATTAAGACACAAAGTTGATAATTGATCTAATTTCTCTATCACATGAGCCAAATTATACTTCCGTTCTTTGTCAAGCTCATTTTCTTTGGTTTTTTGGAATATTTTGATATGTTTACTATTATTTTTAATAAACTCAAAATTTAACAATATTTTACCTAAAACCAACTTGAATCGCCTTATGGTGACGGTGTAAGAAAATACACTATCCACAAATACACAATTCATGGGGGAGGCCTATTGGTGAATTGGTAAATGGTGAAATTTTGATGAATGGAATGACTGAATGTATGAATTTGAATCACCTAATGAACAATAATAATAGATATATACCTGAGTATCGTACGCGTCTGGGAACGTCAATATACGATCATGTATATCCGCATTTTTGGCTGCTGATATAACGTCAGCGATTGGTGCATCCAGGCGCCCGTACTGGATGTTATACCTAGGAAAAGAAAGCTAATTTAAAAAGGAATGATAATATATCTAACGATATATTATACATATTTTTTTAGTGACGTAACAATAATAATTGTCGAAAAATTTACTTTTTTCTTTATTTTTATCATATTGTGATTACATACACGGCCCACACGAACTACCGGGAGTAACCATAACATTTTTCCCGATAAAAAACTGTCTGTCATTTCTTGAGGAAAGAAATCTGTGCACACATAAACAATCGCCATTTAGAGCCGGGACGGCGGTAGCGGTGGCAAAACTGAGTCAATGGCACAACCATGAATCTCTGGGGTATGACCATATATTTGTGTCATATGCCGTAGAAGCTATCGATTCATGGGGTCCATGTGCGGTGAACTTCGTAAAGGAACTGTATCTGCGACTTGACGTCGCCTCTGTATCAAGAATGCTGGTTCTTTTCTCGATCTAACCTAACGGAAACGCAGCCAGCGTTCTTGACATTATAACATTCAATAATTTTCCGCATTATTACCAAAAGCAGTTTATAACAAATCTCAGGTTTAGACTAGTCAGTGTCAACATAGAAATCCAGCGGGAAAGTATGCAAACTGAAAATTAAGGCATGGAATTTACCAACTAATGTCAAATTTCGTAAACACTAAGGCGCGAAGCGAAGACTATTACTTCTTTTGTGAAATCGACTCTGCTTAAATCTTAGTTTAAAGCCAGTGACTATCAATAAACCACGTTTTATAATAAGACGGATATAGGTTTTGCTATAGTGCGAATTAGTGTTCACCTTTTTATTCTATTAAAATATGCATATCATAAAACTATCATCATAATGACTGAAATACTGACACTGACACTGACTGACATAATGGCTGAAATAACAACTGTCCAATAGATACGAGGGTGGATTGAAAAGTACTCGGCCTAACACAGATCCATTCAATTCTAAAAATCAAATCTACCCACATTATTTAGTTCAGTTCAGACTAGTTCATTGTGTGAAGTTCGAAACGTGTGCGATAATTAGTTGTGATTTTATAAATTTATTAACAAAGTAATCGGACATAATTTCCGCGAATGGAGCAAATCGAGCAGCGTGCCGTCATTAAGTACCTCCATAAGAAGGGGCTATCATCAAAAGCCATCCATGATGACATGGTCAGTACATTAGGCGATTGTGCTCTGTCATATTCATCCGTCAAAAAATGGATAGCAGAATTTAAGCCTCTGGAAGGCCTTCGACGTCAACTACTGACGAAAATATTAAAAAAAGTACTTGATTTAATAATGGGAGACCGCAGATTAAAAATTAGAGAGATAGCCGAGATTATAGGCATCTCTTATGAACGAACTCAAAACATCATTGTCAACGAGTTGGGTTTCCACAAGGTGTCTGCGAGGTGGGTTCCGCGACTGCTTTCAGTTGAACAAAAAAGGACGCGATTGACTATTTCACGCGACTGTTTGGAGTTATTTGAAGCCGATGCAGATGATTTTTTGAATCGTTTTGTTACTATGGACGAAACATGGGTTCATTACTGTACACCGGAAACAAAACAACAATCAAAACAGTGGAGAAGACCTGGTTCACCACCCCTAAAAAAGGCTAAGTCGATTTTGTCGGCAAATAAGGTGATGGCTGCAGTATTCTGGGACTCGAAAGGTGTGATTATGATTGATTATCTTGAAAGGGGTCAGACTATAAACTCTGGTTACTACTGCACCTTACTACGTCGTTTACGAGAGGAAATAAAAGAAAAACGTCGAGGAATGCTTAGAAGAAAAGTCCTGTTTCATCAAGATAACGCCCGTGTTCACACGTCAGTACAGTCAATGGCTGAAATTCACAACTGTGTCTTTGAACTGTTACCGCATCCGCCGTATTCACCTGATCTGGCACCATCAGACTTCTTTCTGTTCTCTAACCTAAAAAAGCACTTGGGAGGTCAAAGATTTTCGACAAACGATGAGGTCAAAGCAGCTGTAGACGCATATTTTGACTCTAAGGAAGAATCATTTTTTTTCAACGGTCTAAATGCTTGGAAGGGGGAGGTGGCAAAAGTGTATTGAACTTGATGGTGATTATGTAGAAAAATAAATATATAACTGATTTAGTATGTGTTTATTTTCTTGGTTAGGCCGAGTACTTTTCAATCCACCCTCGTATTTCCAATCAACAAAAGCATCCACTTCATTTACTTGATAATCCAGCACCATCAAACTTTTACTATTCCCTAATATAAAAAACACTTGATGGGGAAAATCAGACAAAACCACGCTGCAGCTATGTTAAGGCTGTGACACAAATCGGTCAGCTCAGCCGGCGTAGGACCACGCTCTCACTAAATACCAGTGTAAAACAGCAGCTTAATGATGCTGTGTTTCGTATAGTGAGTATAGAGAAACCATTTTTTACGAACAACGAAGCATTGCACCTAAGTCCTCACGGATGACATCGCATCAGCATTTTGATTAATTGGGGAAAAATGTAGATGTCTATGGGATCACAGCATCTACTTACTATCTGGTGGACTGTGTGCTCGTTTGTCACCCTTATTTCAGTAAAAAAATTATAATAACACTAATTTTTTATCATGTTACCTCCATCACATTATGGAAAATTATGTATACTATACACTATATGATAACTATAATTATTACATAATGTAGTTTATAATTAGGCTCAAGTTTAAATTAGAATCGGATTTCATAAAGAAGTAAATTTAATAAAAAAGGCAAATATGCGAACTAAAATGTAAAGTTTGGAATTTGACAGCAAATGTCATTTTTGCAAAAAATGTGGTGCCACGTTAATGTACTTCACTTCTTTGTGAGAAGTACTCTTCTTAAAACATAACCCAATCAGTACAAGAATAAAAAACCATACTTTTGTAATAAGACGAATGTTGTCTATTAACAGTGGTAACACATAGCTCGAAGGGCGAAGGTAAATTTACATTGTGTTTTTAAAGTTGAAGGAACGTAAGTATTACTTAATTTAAGAAATTGCATTAGTGTTGAAAATACATAGAAACATTATATACACCAAAAAACAGTTACAAATGTTAAAGAATATTGCGTCCTACGGTACATTACACAGGACGCGTGACACACTGTGAACACCACTGTGACCTGTGTGGGGCACAAGTCAACTACCGCAGTGAACATGGCACTGATTCTACGGTGTTGTTGAAGAGCACGGTGTCCTGCAACACGTTCCACACGACGCGTGACACACTGTGACGACATGGGGCACAAGTCAACTACCGCAGTGAACATGGCACTGACCGCACGGTGTTGTTGAAGAGCACAGTGTCCTGCAGCACGTTCCACACAACGCGTGACACACTGTGACGACATGGGGCACAAGTCAACTACCGCAGTGAACTTGGCACTGACCGCACGGTGTTGTTGAATAGCACGGTGTCCTGGGGCACGACGCCAATGTTGGCGCGCAGCGAGGCCTGCGTCACGGTGCGCACGTCTTGCCCGTCCACCAACACGGCGCCCTCGTTCACGTCGTAGAACCGGAACAGCAGTCGCATTACCGTCGACTTGCCTGCGCCGCTCGGTCCCACCTGAAAAAAATGCATATCTTTACTACTGAAGATATATGAATGTGTTTTCGCCCAACACACTGAATAGTTTACATCTGTCATTATACATGATGGTTATGTTAAAATTTAACGTTAAAGCCTGCCCACAGCTTACACTCTCATTTCTGAAAGGGTTTTAGGGCAAGGAATTGTCCGCCACGCTGCCCCAATGCGTATTAGCGAACTTTACATGTCAACGAAATATAATTATTTTCTTATTTCTCAGACATGCAGGTTTCCTCTCGATGTTTTCCTTCGCCGCCGAGCATGTGGTAAATTAGCATTTAAAATTGCAATTAACAATTTCAATGGTGCCGACGGATATCGAACCCGGGTTGTTCGCGTACTGTGAAATTTACAGCTAGCGTTAAATTTCAACATACGATAATACAAATACGAGAACAAATATAATATATTAAATATGTTCAGACGGTCTTCGAAATATTATGTATTATTTCTATACTTGAGAGTTTCGTTCATCTCAGCAAAAATCCATATTCGGAAGAGAAGTCACCTAATCAAAAAAAAAAAACAATATCCACAAACAATATAATAAATATAATAGTTATAAAAATATTGTAAAACTTAATTTATAATTGGTAGCTTCACTATAGGTTGTATGTATTGTATTACTTTTAACTGCTTAGTACTTAATGTTAATTATAAATACCATTTAGTTATTTTTTTTAAATCTTTAAACATATTGTGGTGGCAAGCTTTTAATATGTATTAGATATCTGTGGAAACTTCATTGGTTTTAGGATTACTTTTATATGTTTTATAATGTATTTTTTATTGTACTGTATGATTCCCTTAAAAAGCAAATAAATAAATAAAAAATAAATAAAAACAATAGTCACCAGCGCGACAGTAGCGCCGGGCGCGACTCGGAAGCTGACGTTGTTGAGCACGAGCCTCTCGGGCCCGTAGCCGAAGGAGACGTTCTTGAACTCGATGCCGCCGTGCCGCACGGCCAGCTCGGGCGCGCCGGGCGCGTCGCGCACATCCGAGTCCACGCGCATCAAGTCGAACATGTTCTCCATGTCCACGAAGTTCTTCTGGATCGCCCTGTTGAACAATAGATACGTTCTTTATACGGTAAGTAACGAGCCCACAAAGCAAGTAGAACTCGACGACAATAAACTGAAAATGCACTCTCTCGACTCAACTACGAAACTACTAAATACTAAGATAGCACTCATTGAGACAGAGCTATGAAGAAGTCTTACAAAGTGAAGTTTTCAAAGTTGGTAAAAATTACTTTGCCTATATCCGCTTAATAAATAACTTTAAAATAATGTTACCTTTAATATAATGGAGTTCCACAAAGTAATGCCGGATTCTATTAATTAGTGAGTATTTGGTTCATTACTAAGCGAATCGTGATTCTTGTTTTTCATTAGCCAGGAAAGGTTCACTACTGATCATAGGTCTTTACGATCGAGATGTTAGCCGTATTTGTTCATGTTTTTATACAAGCATTAGTAGTGAAACACCTACATAGACATATAGACACCTACTTCTATCATGAAGTAAGAATCTAAATGCAGATACGTTGTTTCACGTGGTAGAGCCACGCTCTCACAGAATACCAGCGTAAAATAGCAGCTTAATACTGCTGTTTCGTATGGTGAGTGTAGAGCACCCGGGATCCTTTTCATTGGAAATGGAGCATCCATTTTAGTCCTCAGAGGTGATAACGAATCTGAATTTTGAATCCTAATCGAGGATAAATGATGCATAACGCCTATGGGCCTCAGCACCCACTTACCATCAAGTGGACTGTGTGATCGTTTGTCACCCATATTCTATAAAAACCCTGGGAACTAAAATAGAAAGTCTTGTCATAAGGATAAAGGATCTCCAATTCTCATAACACAAGTTAAATATGCAACTACTGAGATTGTTTGGAGTATAAATAGAACAACTAAAATTTCAATTTTTAGCCTGACAATACCAAGCAGGTAACACCCATCTTCTCTATTGAAATTAGGATGTTTTTTGATTTCAATAGCATCGCGAATCATCCTTGAAAGAAATCGGTGCTCTTTAGCGAGGATTCGTGGTTTATCAAATCTCATGAAGTGACGGGGGCAATCCTATACGTGTTCATAGACTGCGGACTTCCCGGTGCATCGATTCTTCACATCAGCTATATGTTCTTTAACGCGGGTTTTAATTGATCTTTTAGTTTTTTCAATGTAAGAGAGACCATTTTCACAATCAAGTTAGTAAATTCATGCATCTTGCACTTGACTGATGGTAAAAACTGACAAAATCATCTTTAGCCGCTTAAAGTTTGTTTTAATGGAAGCGCGCTTCAAGATGTAACCAATCTTGTCAGTGACTTCTCTGACATATGACAGTACAGCAGCTATACGCTCGACTGTGGCCGGCTTGACTCATTCACTGTGACGTAGGCACGGGACCCGAAGTTTGTTGTCATGCAAAACTTTCTTGAAATGTTAGAGTAAATTAATTTATTGACTTAATAGTCAACAAAGCTGCCAAGTTATCAATTCAATATGAAAAAACGTAACGAGTTTTCTTTAAATCAGTTGAAAAACGTTGATTATTGTTATGCTATGCTATGGAACTTCACACCCGTTCAATCATCATCATCATCATCATCACAGCCCTTCACAAGTCCACTGCTGAACATAGGCCTCCCCCAAGTAATGCCACAAAGCACGGTCCTGAGCCACCTGCATCCATCGACTTCCTGCATATCTTACCAGGTCGTCACTCCATCTAGTGGGGGGTCGCCCTACACTACGCCTACCGGTACGAGGCTGCCACTCGAGAACCTTTCTTCCCCATCGGTTATCGGTTCTTCGAGCTATATGGCCGGCCCATTGCCACTTCAGCTTACTAATCCGTTGGGCTATGTCGGTCAATCTGGTTTTACTGCGGATATCCTCATTTCTGAGTCTATCACGCAGAGAAACTCCGAGCATAGCCCTCTCCATAGCTCGCTGAGCGACCTTGAGCGTCCTCATACGGCCAGCAGTGAAGGACCACGTCTCTGATCCGTAAGTCATCACTGGCAACACGCACTGGTTGTACACTTTAGTTTTCAGAGATTGAGGTATACCCGACGAGAAGATATGTCGTAATTTCCCGAACGCTGCCCAGCCGAGTTGAATCCGTCGATTGACCTCTCGGTCGAAGTTGGACTTACCTAGTCGGACTATTTGTCCCAGGTAAACGTACTCGTCAACAACTTCGAGCATAGTGCTCCCAACAACTACCGGCATAGGTGTGACATGGACATTAAACATAATCTTTGTTTTGTCCATGTTCATCTTAAGACCTATCCGTTGGGAGGCACTATTGAGGTCATTGAGCATAGTGCTTAAGTCCTCCAGCGATTCTGCCATAAGGACTATATCGTCGGCAAATCGAAGGTGAGTGATGTACTCGCCATTGATGTTAATACCGTATCCTTTCCAGTCCAGTAGCTTGAAAACGTCTTCCAAAGCAGCGGTGAAGAGTTTCGGGGATATAACGTCACCCTGTCTTACACCTCTCTGCAGTTGGATAGGTTTCGAGCTCTGGTTCTGTACTCGGATAGCCATCGTAGCCCTACTGTACAAACACTTCAGCACTTCAATATACCGACAGTCAACTTGGCACCGCTGAAGGGACTGCAGCACCGCCCAAATTTCGACGGAATCAAAGGCTTTCTCATAGTCCACATACGCCAGGCAAAGTGGCAAATTGTACTCTTCAGTCTTCTGTACAATCTGCCGCAGGGTATGTATGTGGTCTATGGTACTGAAGCCTTTTCGGAAACCGGCTTGTTCGGGAGGCTGGAAGTCGTCGAGTCTGCGTGCGAGACGATTCGTAATGACTCTCGAAAACAGCACGTAGACGCGGCTCAGAAGGGAAATCGGTCTGTAGTTCTTCAAGAGAGCGTTGTCGCCTTTCTTAAAGAACAAGACCACCGCACTTCTGCTCCACGCCTCTGGAGTAGTGCCACCATGGAGGACGGAATTGAAGAGCTTCTGAAGGACTTCAAGTACCGGTGTTCCACCCGCTTTCAGAAGCTCCGCTGTAATTCCATCCTCGCCTGGGGCCCTGCCGTTTTTAAGGTGCTGGAGAGCCATTCTAATCTCGCTTAGACTGACGTCCGGGATATCATCGGAATAGTGTCGGATAAGACTTGCTCTTGGATCGTTACTCACACTTGCGTGTGGCTCCAACGATGATGTGTACAGCTGCCCATAGAACCTCTCAATCTCACTCAAAATCTCAGGTGTCCCGGAAACGATGCTGCCACACTCAGTCTTCAGCCTTGACAGTTGGCTCTTTCTGGCAGATAGATCTCTGGCAAAGACTTTGGAGCCCTGGTTCCGCTCGATCGCTTCTTTAATACGAGCAGTATTAAAGTTGCGCAAGTCTCGCCGCATGCATTTGGAGATCTGTCTGTTCAGTTGCCTGTATGCTGTCAAATCTGTTGACGATTGCAGCCTCATCTCCCGTCTAACAGCCATGAGATTAAGAGTGTGATCGGAGAGTTTTTGTGTTCTTCTGCGGCGGGTCTTGCAGAACTTAGCTCCGACCGCATGGACAGTTTCCACGAGCTTGTCATTCATATCGTCCACTGCATTGCAATCTTGTAGGCACTGAAAGCGGTTGTGTAACTCGAGCTGAAAGTTTTCGGGATTTTGGATCAGAGCACGAGGGGGGACGGAGCGTTGACTTCATTAGACGAGACCTCTCCAACTTAACGTTTAGGTTCAGTGTGCCTCTAACCATTCGGTGATCGCTGCCAGTTTTCACCCTTGCGATCACTGAGACATCACTGAACAGTTGGCGTCTGGTCGTCATAATGAAGTCAATCTCATTTTTTGTCGAACCGTCGGGGCTCGACCAGGTCCACTTCCTGTGGGGCCGCTTCTGGAAGAAAGAGTTCATCATAAAGAGTCCCTCTTTCTCCATAAAGTCGGCCAGCTGCTGGCCCCTTCGGTTCCGTTGCCCTACTCCAAATTTCCCTAACTTCAGCTCACCGCTTTCTCTTGTGCCTAGTTTTGCGTTGAAGTCTCCCATCAACACCGTGTAGTGGGTTTTGGAGGAATGTATGGCTTTGGAAATATCCTCATACATTTCCTCCACCTCCTCATCGGAATGTGCCGACGTTGGTGCGTAAACCTGTATGACCTTCAGCGAATACCGTTTGGTGATTCTGAGTATCAGGTACGCGACCCTCGTCGACACACTCTCAATCTGTACAACGTTGTTGACGAGAGACTTGTGGACGATAAATCCGACACCTCCTTGGGACAGATGGTCGCCCTCCCGGTGATAGAACAAGTTGCCGGATTCGAGAATCACCGTGTCCTCCCCCTCTCTTCGGACCTCGGATAATCCTATAATACTCCAGCGCAACTTGTCTATCTCTTCTTCCAGCTCCAGGATCTTCTCGTCAGTCCTCAGTGTGCGTGCGTTAAATGTTGCCAGGTCGAGTCGTCGTAGGTGGCAACCGAACCTCCACCGGAGATTCTTAGCACCCCCTGCCCCGCCGTTACCATGGTCGCCACCGTAGCCAGGAATAGCGGGGCCGCCGGGGACTGGGGGCCGTCTATTTGTGTAATTGTTCATGGGGGGTATATTGCCATAGTTGCCACGCTTGGCGAGCGGGTTGGCAACCGCAGTTTTTTTTTTTGTCGTACAGTTGCTGTTATCAGGAAGATGCTGCTGCCCATCTCCTGCCTGTCTCCCTCTGTCGCCTCTTACGACACCCACGGGAAGATATGGGGTAGTGGATATTCTTAACCGCCACTACACGGCAACACCCGTTCAAGGTTAGCCAAAATGACCTCACGTAACGTTCAGATATGTCATCCCCATTCATTTTTATAGTATTCTATGTTGGCGAAGCCGAATTTCAGTACAAACGGCGTTTATCTCCTTTGGTCCCTTATTAACTTTTATGTTTGTGGTTGGATTATCTTTACATACATTGAGCTTTAGAATCACATGTTAGTTTGAAGAATATAATATACTATGTTAAAGTTAAGGGTTTGAGGTGTGTTTAATTTTAATTATAGTGGCGCTTTTAAAGAGGCACTAAGAGGTAAAAACAATTAAGTAGTTTTAATAAAAAATCTGTAATTTTAAAAGTTATTTAACTTTGGTTAATTATTTACCTGTAATATGTGCCGAACCAATTCAACGGCACATAGAGCTGTATGATATAAGATGCGAAGAGTACATAGTCACCAACGGTTAGTTCGTGTGTTTTTACAACCATAGACACAGCCAGTAATGAGCCCGCCAAGAGCCCTGTAAATACACAACTTTTGTAATTATTTATATATTATTTTTAGGTTAAAGTACATATAAGACCTACGATGCCAAGTTTGGCGATCCAAATGTCACCTTTGGGGACTAAGTTAGAATGCCTCATAGCTTGTTAATATACTGACTCTTGGGAGTTGGACACCACAGTGCAAGCACTGCTATTTGTGCGGCTGAAATAGCTAAGGGTGGTACCTAGCCAGGCTCCGTAGGCAGAAAAGGAGTCTTACCACTTAGTAAATATAATTTTAAACCTGAATTTAAGATATTGGATTTAATTTATGGTTGATAAAACCCCTGATTGAGGTGATAGCTACCAAGTTCTTTCTAATATGTTTTTGCATAGTTTCAATTATTGAACAAGATAGAGTAGGGGTTTGAACTTATAACAATTTTGGCCTCGTTGTTTAAAACTACATTATATTCGTGCGACGCCAGGAAAAACTATATACGCGATATGATACAATCAGCCATCTTAACCATAGAGATCATTTATTTCAAATAAATATGTATTCTCAAACAATGAAGTTTTAAATGTGCGACGACCAAATAAGGTTCTAGACTTTTTGCACAAATAACAACCTTGTTGTATTATTAAAATTACGCCAAGCCTACACCTAAAAAAACTATTGTCCAAGATTGTTTTATAAAAAAAAAGGGTGACAAACGAGGATACGGGTCCAACGGATGGTAAATGGATGCTGTAAGCCCATAGACTTCGACATCTATCCTCGATTAGAAATGATCATAATCACGATCGAACTGTAGACGTGTTGTCCTCCCTGAGGTCTAAGGTCCGTATTAACAATCATTCTTCAAAGAGGAACTCGAGTACGTAATCATTCTCGATACGACCTCATTACAATATGAGCATCTTAAAAAAGTTGCTAATTAATAAACACATAAATACAGTAACACAGTTACCTAAGATCAGCTCCTCAAGACGCTGTAATTGGGGTATATAGTTCTATGACTGAAGTTTATAATATTATAATCACATTTCATAGTATAAAGTAGTTTTCTACTTAAGAAAACCTTGAATTGTTAAAACCGTTGTGTATGTATTTCTAAATATAACGTAAATGTTTACTACTCAACTGAATATGTACAAATAACAAAATTCATTAAAGCGACAGCGTTAGTGGTTAAAAAAGAGGCGAACCAACAACATCTGCTGCTTATAAAGAATCAATATAAGACTGTGGTGGAAAATAAGGATACATGGCGCATCTCGTAAGTATGGTAACTAAATAAGGATACATGGCGCATCTCGTAAGTATGGTAACTAAATAAGGATACATGGCGCATCTCGTAAGTATGGTAACTAAATAAGGATACATGGCGCATCTCGTAAGTATGGTAACTAAATAAGGATACATGGCGCATATCGTAAGTATGGTAACTAAATAAGGATACATGGCGCATCTCGTAAGTATGGTAATTAAATAAGGATACATAGCGCATCTCGTAAGTATGGTAACTAAATAAGGATACATGGCGCATCTCGTAAGTATGGTAACTAAATCAGGATACATGGCGCATCTCGTAAGTATGGAAACTAAATAAGCATTCATAGCGCATCTCGTAAGTATGGTAACTAAATAAGGATACATGGCGCATCTCGTAAGTATGGTAACTAAATAAGGATACATTGCGCATCTCGTAAGTATGATAACTAAATAAGGATACATGGCGCATCTCGTAAGTATGGTAACTAAATAAGGATACGTGGCGCATCTCGTAATTATGGTAACTAAATAAGGATACATGGCGCATCTCGTAAGTATGGTAATTAAATAAGGATACATAGCGCATCTCGTAAGTATGGTAACTAAATAAGGATACATGGCGCATCTCGTAAGTATGGTAACTAAATAAGGATACATAGCGCATCTCGTAAGTATGGTAACTAAATAAGGATACATGGCGCATCTCGTAAGTATGGTAATTAAATAAGGATACATAGCGCATCTCGTAAGTATGGTAACTAAATAAGGATACATGGCGCATCTCGTAAGTATGGTAACTAAATAAGGCTGCTAAATAAACTACATCACGATCTCAAGTCACGGACCTGCACTCAGATTTTAGTATACGCACCCAAGTAAACGCACCTATTGTGTACTTTTTTTATAGGATTGGGTGACAAACGAGCACATAGTCCACCTGATGGTAAGTGGTTGCTGCGGCCCATAGACATCTACATCTATCCTCGATTACAATTCAAAATGCAGATGCGTTGTCACCCCTGAGGACTAAGATGGAATGCCTCTTTTCCAGTGAAAAGGGTCTCCGGTTCTCTAAATAAACTTGACTGAAAACTTGACTACTTGACTAAAAACTTGACTTGACTAAAAATTAAAAACTTAACAGTCGAGTTTCGTTTATTAGATAGTGCATCACTCAGCTGATAACGTAAACTTAAGTCTTAACTTACGGTATTTTAATTAAAAAGATATGATCTTATTAATAAAAATACCTAAGTTCAACAAAAGTACCTCAAGATTGTTTCCAATTGCGTGCATTTGAGCTGACGAACGTTATTAGTACTGGCCTAAGATATAATGTCTCGTTACCAGAAAAAAAGCGTCTCCGTTTTAGAGTCCCAAAAACACGAAACAGTTTTACGAAACTATTCTATGAAAAGTGATCCTTGCCCGGTCGAGACTACCTACTCGTGTTGCACCCATAATATAGCTATAGCGTGGATCCACCATGTTACAAAAATATTTTTTTATTTAAAAAAGAACTAATTACTAACCTCCACAAATTATAATATTTTGCATTGTGTTCAGCATGTTGAGTGTTAGTAAGGATTTAAATTCTTCTTTCTGTAAATAAAATATTAGGTTTTTATTATTGCTTTTACCGATTTCTGCATGTATGGATAGAATATTCTCTTCTTCAGAGCCTTCAATAGCTTATCGTTAGAGCAACACAATTACTAGCATTCATACTTTATTCCCTGAAAACACGTCAATGTATTTATTCCTTTTTTGGGAAAAAAATTAGTACGTACCTAATACCTAACATAGTAATAATAACTTCTAAGTTGTTCTAAGTTGAGGATTATGATATAGTTAGTTAGTAGCCGAGTTAGAAAACTCGTCACATTAAAGTCCACTACTGAATATACGGAATATAGACCAAAAAGTCTTTAATGTCCCATTTACACTCACCCTTGTTGGGCAGGAAAGTGAGCAGGGAATTAGGCAAGGCAGTATGTAAATAGGCTACTCGCGCTGTTACTGCCCATGCCGCTGTCACTGGCCGGCGTTCCCTCGATTGTCGGTTTTTCGCACGGAAGTCTAATGCCCCATTTACATTCAGCCTTGTTGGGCAGGGAAGTGAACAAGAAAGTGGGCAGGGCAGTATGAAAATAGGCTACTCGCACTGTCACTGCCGCTGCCGCCACCATTGCCCGGCGCTCCCTCGATTGTCGGTTTTTCGCTCGCAAGTCTAATGCCCCATTTACATTCAGCCTTGTTGGGCAGGGAAGTGAACAAGAAAGTGGGCAGGGCAGTATGAAAATAGGCTACTCGCACTGTCACTGCCGCTGCCGCCACCATTGCCCGGCGCTCCCTCGATTGTCGGTTTTTCGCACGGAAGTCTAATGCCCCATTTACATTCAGCCTTGTTGGGCAGGGAAGTGAGCAAGAAAGTGGGCAGGGCAGTATGAAAATAGGCTACTCGCACTGTCACTGCCGCTGCCGCCACCATTGCCCGGCGCTCCCTCGATTGTCGGTTTTTCGCACGGAAGTCTAATGCCCCATTTACATTCAGCCTTGTTGGGCAGGGAAGTGAACAAGAAAGTGGGCAGGGCAGTATGAAAATAGGCTACTCGCACTGTCACTGCCGCTGCCGCCACCATTGCCCGGCGCTCCCTCGATTGTCGGTTTTTCGCACGGAAGTCTAATGCCCCATTTACATTCAGCCTTGTTGGGCAGGGAAGTGAGCAAGAAAGTGGGCAGGGCAGTATGAAAATAGGCTACTCGCACTGTCACTGCCGCTGCCGCCACCATTGCCCGGCAGCGGGTAATATAAGATCCTCAAGAGAATAACCATAAATTGCACGTAATAGCTACTTATACTGAGTAGACATAATGCTTTTACGCCAACAAATTCGACGTCATTCATTGTTGAGATCTGATCAATAAAGAACCCACTCGCGTCGTTATTGTCGCAGAAGTACGAGGGTGGATTGAAAAGTACTCGGCCTAACACAGATCCATTCAATTCTAAAAATCAAATCTACCCACATTATTTAGTTCAGTTCAGACTAGTTCATTGTGTGAAGTTCGAAACGTGTGCGATAATTAGTTGTGATTTTATAAATTTATTAACAAAGTAATCGGACATAATTTCCGCGAATGGAGCAAATCGAGCAGCGTGCCGTCATTAAGTACCTCCATAAGAAGGGGCTATCATCAAAAGCCATCCATGATGACATGGTCAGTACATTAGGCGATTGTGCTCTGTCATATTCATTCGTCAAGAAATGGATAGCAGAATTTAAGCGTGGTAGAGAGAGTGTGAAAGATGAACCCCGCTCTGGAAGGCCTTCGACGTCAACTACTGACGAAAATATTAAAAACGACGACAAACGACGAGGTCAAAGCAGCTGTAGGCGCATATTTTGACTCTAAGGAAGAATAATTTTTTTTCAACGGTCTAAATGCTTGGAAGGGGAGGTGGCAAAGGAAGGGGAGGTGGCAAAAGTGTATTGAACTTGATGGTGATTATGTAGAAAAATAAAAATATAACTGATTTAGTATGTGTTTATTTTCTTGGTTAGGCCGAGTACTTTTCAATCCACCCTCGTATTTAGGGAAATATTTCCGGCAGTGACAGGAGCCGTAGCAGTGGCTAAGTGTAAATGGGGCATATTACATGCTTTAAGTGCAAAACGCGTAGGTATGTTATACTAGCGCCTAAAAATCAAGAATCCGACGTTTTGTCGCATGAAATCCTCGACGAGTACGATCGAATGGCTAGATTGTGCTCGTTGTTATGTTAGTTATGATGAGACCTTACCCCGGTCTTGACGGAGTTACCTGAAGGTATACTTCAGTGAATGCAACTGGAACTGAATAGGTGTGCTGAGTTTGTTTATTAGTTATGATGAGACCTTATCTCCGGAAAGTGGTAAATTATCCTTAAGGCAAACTAGGCACGTGATGAGGGAAGCAAGGTTAATACGGGGTGCGCGCGGAAGTTTTTAAACGAAAAGAATCGAATTAAACTACAAAGATATGGTTACGTAGGTCAATCACTACAGTTTTGAGATGCTCGAAATTTAAAAATGGAATTCACCCGTGTTATATATTTCTAAAAAGCGAATTTATTTAAAAATAGAACTCCATAAGGCAATTGCTCAATATTAAGGCCGATTTACACTTCGACAAGTACAGTAGCGAGTTTAGTTACAGGGCAGTTGACAGTAAACAGTTAAGTGGGCAGTAGCGTTCAAACAATGTCTTCGTGGCGAGTTTAGTTAGGGACATTAGTTCATAGAGTTCGTCGGAGTATGACGTTTCAAGACTACAGAATTTTTCTGGTTTTCGTTCAAGAATTAAATGATCCAGTCAGAGAAGCATTAATGGTTGTTTTTAAAGAAGTTTTTAAGAAATTTCATGAGTGCAGCATCTCGAGCAGATTTCATTTTACAATTTGAACTTCTACTATTACATAAACATTCGTTATATTAATACTCCTGTACAAATTTATACGTGATATCTTCCGTTCATTTCATTATTAAAACTCAATATAAAACGTATAAATATTCAATAAACAGTATCGTACAAACTTTGTGGCGAGTTTAATTATAAAAGTACAATTGTACGTTTCGGCGGGCAAACGTTGCGTCCTGTCAACTTATGCACTGAACTAAACTCGCTCGATTACACGAACGGCGAGTTTAGTTGCGGGTGGCGGCACGCGCGGGAGGGCAGCACTTCGCACTTAACTCGCCGAAAAATAGCTCGGCCGGCTATCCCGTTCAACTTAATCGTTAACTTGCTACTTAACTCGCTTATTGCCGTTCAAACGACGTTCAAACTTAACTCGCCAGGTTCGCAAGTTAACTCGCTACTGTGCTTATCGAAGTGTAAATCGGTCTTAAAGAAAAGAAAACAAAGTTCTATTAATTTTCCTGCAACACTTCCCGCGCTTTTTCATTTAAAACGATGGTGATCTTAACCGTGAACATTTGCGCGCTATGATCTATTATGATTTTAAATTTTGTTTAGCCAGTCAGCTCCATCACGCGCAACAATTTTTAGGTGGTTTGCTGAATTCAAAAGGGGTAAACTTATCCTTAAAGATAACCAAAGAACCGCGGCCCGCAAACAGTAGTAACGGCAGAAAATGCATGGACTACTGAAATGTTGTTGCGAGAAGACCCACGAATCACAAATACGGACATCGAAAAGATTGTAGGCTAGTTCGGGGATCATTCATACCATCCTACATCAACATCTTGGTGTGAGAAAGCTTTGTTGTCGATGGATCCCTCATTTTCTCTCCGACAGCCAAAAACAGACTCGTGTGGATTGGTGCCATGAAATGCGTCTACGTTTTGAAAACGGGGCATTTAGGAGTGTTTCAGAAATCTTTACTCGTGATGAGACATGGATATCAATATGCTCCGGAAAATAAAAGGCAATCATCGGTGTGGGTCTACTCAGAAGGACAGTTACCGACAAAACTGCAAAATCTCGCAACGTCGGCAAATAAAAATGGTGGCTTTTTTCGCGGTGCGGACATTTGTCGACGTCAATGCTGGAAAATTGTAGGTCAGTCAACTCTGAATGGTATACTACAGCTGCATTACATGTATACTACAGGTGCGGGAGAGAAGACCAAAGACCGTGCTTCGGGGAATCATGCTGCATCACGATAACGCCTCTTCACATACCTCCCTTAGAACAAAAGCATTTATTGAGGAATCTGGTGTTGAAACTCTAAGTCACCCTGACTTAGCAGCTCCTTGTGATATCTTTTTGTTCACAAGAGAGAAAAAATAAAAGTTTTTTCCAAGCGCCGAAGAAGCCGTGGCTGCTTACGAAGAAGCGATTTCCGACCTGTCAGATCAAGACTGGCGTAAGTGTTTTCAGAGTTGGTTTAGGCGAACGGAAATTTGTATAGAGCATAATGGAGAATATTTTGAAAAGATGGAAAATAAATATTAATAGTATCTAGAATAATTTTTGTATATCTCAAAACTTATTGAGTGTCATACGTATTAGTGAAAACTTGTGTGTATTCAAAACACTTTGAAAAAATGACTTATAACATGAGCGCTTAAGGCACACTTGGATTTACCAAAAGTTATTGTTAATATGCACTCGCCAACGATTTGGTATGTCGAGCTTATGTTGCATCGCTGACCTACAGACAATAATGTATAGATAACTTTTTAAAGTAAAGACTAAATGTGGTAACGCTTAGTTATCACAATATAAGTAACCAGTAGATATGACGAAGACCGGACATTGGCAGAATTATTGTGACCTAAGCACAATAACAAGGCAATATTAAAGAAAAAAGGTACTCAGTAAAATGTCTAAAAAAAGGTTCTATATATATATAGCATTACTAACTCTATAACTTACATATAAAGGTGTTTATATAACGACTTAATTCTTAGATTTAGTTTGCAAAATTGAATTGGTGAATGAAATGAGTTTTATTAACAACTTACTTGATAATTAACAATAGCCTCTCTATATGAGAATACTTCGTAGCCCTCAGCACCATAATATTTGACCGTTTCGTAGTTCAGCAACGAGTCAACAGAGCGCGCCTTTTGTTCATTGTCCGCGAGGTTCATACGACGCTGGAACTTCGTACGCCATTCCGTTACCACTATAGTCGCAACTAAAATAAACAAACAGGTGTTAATATTAAACAAAATCACTAAAAATTTTTTGCAAGTAAAGATTCATCAACGATCAAACGTTTCATGTAAAAACCACAATAAAAGTAGAGATGTTTTGCCGAAGAATCTGGGGGCGCGACAGTGCCCCCGACAAGTCGAGCAAAAAAGCGGCAAGGCAACAAAAAACTTAAAAGATTATTAACATTGATATGGTCACTATACAATGTTGTCAGGTTAGCTAATTACGTAATAACTTAAAACAGAAGGACCCTTATGTAGGGACTGAATAAATTAACCAACTTGGTATTACATGAGTTGCGAGACTTGGTTTTTTTACAAGTTATGTTTTTGATGGCATATTTATTTACTATAGTGTACAAATAACATAATTTAAAATAACAGACCCTAGCAGTGGACCTTTTTTCAGTTAATTTGAAGGCTGTTGCAGGACATAAGCACTTGCATCAAATTACTTAATACGTGAGTTTGATAGCATTGTAAATGACAATTTTGAGTACTGGTTTACTGCGTGTTTGGCAGTGAAAAAAAATCGTGAATGGCAGGTCTAACAAATTAAAAAAAATACATATCATGTAAACATGTAAAAACCGCCTGAAGTTTTTTATTTGTCTCTTAACCTGAGTAAATTAACTCCTATGGACTTTTCAAAGGTACGAAAATAAAAAAGTACTCAATACTCACTAATATATAACACCATAGTGGAGAAAACGATTAATCCGAACCAGGCGTTGAACTGTGACACAAAGTAAACGACTGCCACCACAATGTCCACTAGTGTTGGTGTGATTGAGAACAGTATATACGATAGGAGATTGTCGATGGAGTCTGTACCCCGGTCCATCACTCTGAGGACCTCACCGGTCTTCCGTGACAGGTGCCATTTGAGAGGTAAATCATGGAGATGTCTAAAAAGCTCTAGCTGAAATAAAACAATTTATTTAATTCGATTTTCACAACATGGGTAAAAAGTTAAGATCAAATTATTTTTATACAAAATAGGCGTTTGTAAAGCACTTTTTGAGTAATTTTCTACTTGAGAGAAGAAGCAGCAAGAAACTTACAGTATCACTATTTTTCTCCTAACAGTTACAATTTCCATAACATGCGAAGCGAAGCGGAAGGATTTTTCCGGGCTGATGCGACCTGGGGACCTTCAAGAAAAGAGCGTACTCCTTTCTAAAGGGCCGGCAACGCACCTGCAATTCCCCTGGTGTTGCGGTTGATCATGGGCGGCGGTATTCACTTAACATCAGGTGAGCCGCATGCTCGTTTGCCCCCTCTTCTATAAAAAAATAATAAGTATGCAGCAGCAAAACGCTACACAGTTCTAGTTTTAATAGACCTGAGCCGAATCTTGTTACTAAGAGAGTGAACGTAAACTACCTGACCTAAATAAAAAGTCACTACCGTAGCTTAACAAAGCCTACACTACTTCTTTCAAGACAAACACACATGTAATCGGATGATAAAGTACACGCTTGCAAATTATACCATTTGTTTGCTGCATGCATTACGAAAGACTAAGCGAGCCATTTAGTTCAAAACACGTGTTATGCCAAAAAGAAAGGCTCACATCTTGTAGTCTCATGGTGGAAGGGATTGAGGAAAATTTAGTCATGTAATTAACGTACACTCCCCCAAATGTATCTTGGGGAGGACAAACCAAGTGTATCCATCATGACCCAAATTATAATTTAATTTAGGTAGTAGTAGTAATTGAGGAAATCCGATTTAACAGGCTAACAATAATCCAATTAAGTACGTAATTGCCTCAAACAGTTTGTGTATTTACCTTTTGATGTAGTTTGCAAGTGTTTAATATAATATACTACGTGGTTTTACTACAAATATATAAATTATGAAGATGAAAGTGATCATTTTTATGGATGTATAATTATGTGAAATAAGAATAGAAGAGGAGTTGGTTGAGCAAGTAGAAGATTTTGTGTATTTAGGTTAGGGTTTAGCAGAGATGGTAGATTTGACAAGTATATTATTTATATTCTTGTCAAATCTACAATATTCTTTAATTTTCTTCAAGGAATTCCCCTTCTCTTTCGCTTAACAAATTAAATGTCTACTTCACGTCTGTTTCCCCTTTTAATAATTCCGTCAAGGGATGTACGTTTACACTGATACAATACATATACCCATCTACCGACGTTGAACCGTTTGAATTTCCCCTGCATCCGACGATGCGAGCCGCAAGATCTCTCTATTAAATCTAACGCTTTAAGTTATGACTGTTGGCAGAGTAATAATTGTTTCTATGATGTGTAAAATTCTTCGCAATATCACACACATTTTCAATTATGCTCTCGAATCCATCAACTTTTCTTCTACATAGCGTAAGGTTTTTGTCCTGTCCTTCCTCCTACCGAAAATCCCGAACCATTCATCTGCGCCTAATTTTAAGGTTATTTCCTCCGTTCTTCATCCTTCCATTTCTGAACAAAATTCATAAAGATATTATATATATATATATATATATATATATATATATATATATATATATATATCTCGAAAAAAATACAGACGAATTGGTAATTAATAAAATGAGAGATTGGTTTATAAACAATAACTTTATGGATTCTGGACAGAAATGGGATGATATTATATATTATTAATAATATTCTTGAGTTGGATCAACATAAATTTGAAGAAAAAGTTCCACCCCTAACAGTGGCCAAATAGAGGGATCCACTCAAAAGGGTGAAATAAAATAGACTGAATGAAAAGTAAATCCGACTACAAAAAACTACAAAGAATAAAATAATTTCCACATAATACAATGAAATGGGGGCCTTAATACAATCACTCTTTTGTACACTATGGCTTAGTCTTTTTACTATCTATGAAGTCTTTTTTAATGACCATATTTCTAATGAGTACCAATCCGAATTCCGCCCGTAACTACATTAACTTTATTTTTCGACTTAAGAAATTTGCCTATGCAACAACGTAGATTTTCTAGATACCATTCCAATCCATTTTATTTGATCCACGCACTTCCTAGCACCCTAAAAGTAAATTTTCTTTCGCTCGTGATGCTTACGATTCACATCTGCATAGCAATTATAATCTTTCTCTAACAGTTCCTTTATATCGGTAAGGTTCACGTCTTACTCCTTTGAACGTCAAGCGGTACGGCTTTGGAACGAATACTTAATAAGAACGGTTTCGTTCATTGACACTTGGCTTAATTCTGGTTTCATATGTCTTATTGATTTTCCAACTTGTTACGGAATTTGTATTATATTATATTATACGTAATATATCTAAGTATTTATTTACTAATTTAATGCTAGTTTATAAGGCATTTGTGTACGTTCATATGATATGTAAAAAAACTCTGTTCGATCTAAAAGTGATTTCATAGTGCCAATAGTATATTTGTGTGTGGCCATGTAAGTCTTACTATTTCATTAAATTTTATTTTATTTGTGGAGTGATTTTTTTGTTTTTATTCGATATGAAATTATTTCATTAGATTTATTTTATTAACCCATTTATCTATAAATTAGAAAATTCATAGTTATGAATAAAGTTATTCAATTTTCATATATTATTAATTCATTTTTTTACAAATCTTATAGCATCTCCAAAGTAGAATTCTGCATACTTTATAAGTTAACTGGTAAAGAACGTCTCTAGGCGTTAAGTTTGCTTTTGTACTTTTTGTGCAACAAAGTTCATAAATGAATAAATATAAACTAAAGTGAGTAATGGGGATCTTCGTGGGAAGTCAGAATGTATCAAAAAGGCACGTTAATGTATGGTAATGAAAGCGGGGTAAGGCAGTAGAAGCATGAGCTATAGAAATACGGTCATTGAAAAGGATTTTAGAGGTGATCCTACATAAATAAAAGGGTAAGAAATTGTCTGATAAAAGAATAGTGTGGTTTGGAAAACAATGTGTTTAGGATTATAAAAGGAACACTTCAGTGGTTTGGACAAGTAAAAAGAATCAATGAAGAAAAAGTGACACCAACTAATTTATGCTGCAGAAGTGAGTGGCAGAGTTGGTAAGTGACAGCCTAGATGGCCTGCTCCGGGGCGCAGTTTTTTACAGGTTTTTAACGTGGAAGAGCTATACTGCAGCTATATTGCGGTTGTAACACAAATGAGTCAGCTCGACCGGAGAAGGACCACGCTCTCATAGAATACCAGCGTATAGCAGTTCAATGCTGGTGTGTTTCGTATGGGGAGTGTAGAGTACCAGAGACCCTTTTTACGAGACATTACATCTTATTCCTCGGGAGTGACAACGCATCTGCATTTTGATTTTTAATCGAGAATAGATGTATATCTTTCTTCTTATTATCTTATTCTGTAAAAAAAATTAAAAATGGATCGAACCCCGCACGACACAATTATTTGTATGATCTACGAATAATTGTTCTGAGTCTGATGTCTGGTATTGTCCCCGTGCAATTTATATGTATGTAAAAATACAGGAGAAAGTCCTAACGTTGTGAGGCAACATTTTTAACTTTTTTTTTAAACAAAAAAACTTACCGACCAAATGGAGGTATATTGAAGGTGGGACAAATTAAGAGTGTATCAGGATCATGCCAAATAGAAGTCCGTCGTCTTCGCTATCCCGCCCTGTGACAGGCGTGAGAATTTGTTTATTATCTAATATTTATATATTCTAATAACATTATACTGCAATGTTAATAATACTACAAATACAAAAACCACACCTTATTCGATATCACCGAATCCGGTACAATTTTGCGGTAAGATCAGGTGTGATGGAAGATATACGAGGACCGAACACCACTACAATAAACCAATAAACCAAAGATACGTAACCATAGTTACGACAGTACGATATAGTACGACAAGCGCTCGTATAATAATCACAATTTAATATGTTGATTTCCCACTAGCTCGATAATAAGGGATAATATCACATTAAGGATAATAATAATGTCCCCCAGACCGAGTTTCGGTCACGGCCGCCGATCTCATCAGAGACGAGGCACCTGCGCAGGACAGGATCATAGTGTCCGAGTGTACACGCAAGCACAGGTGCACTCTAGCCCCTCATCAAAGTCCGATGGGACGATTATCCGACACGACCGGAGAGAGAACAAGCGCAGGACCAACGGGTGCGTTTGGCAGAAAAAAGCGCTAGCAAGCGCTTGTAAGCAAAATGGCGATCGTAAGCGGTAAGCGCTGTCAAATCGTAAGTAGCTATTTTCCTCTAGGACACGATGTTAGTTTTAACCGGGGAACCTAACCTAATTTAAATATATGTTTGTAAAGTATTCATATTAAAAACTTACTAATCATGAATTTTTAATAACATGTATATGTTTATTTATGTCATTATATTACTTAAAACTAATATTGCACAAAACAACTTATAAACTCTACTTCAAAACAAACAAATTAAATAAGCAAAATGGCGGATTGTGTCAGCGCTACTGAAGTAGCAATCGTGTCCTGGCCGAAAACTATTTTAGCGCTTGTAAGCGCTTGTAAGCGCTTGCTAGCGCTTTTTTCTGCCAAACGCACCCACTGGCTTTGCGTGCTTTCCAAGACACAAGGTCGAAATACTGTCAACTTCTTGACTACGGGCTGCTACTGAGAATTTTTTATAGAATAGGATGACAAACGAATACACAGTCCATCCGATGGTAAGTGGATGTTGTGGCCCATAGACATCTGCATTTATCCTCGATTAAAAATCAAAATGCAGATACGTTGTCAACCCCGAGGACTGAGATGGAATGTCTCGTTTCCAGTTAAAAGGCTCTCCGGTTCTCTACACTAACCATACAAAACACAGCAGCATTAAGCTACCATTTTACGCTGGTATAATGAGAATTTCTTGATAGTAAAACCCAATAATTAATTTTGGACCGACCTGGGATTTGAACCCAGGACGACCCCGCGATTAGCAACCGCTAATTATCATCACAAATCAACGAAGGAGTCCAAAATATCATTATTAGGAATTATGATTATTATCAATATTAGGAAATGCAGGTTTCTTAACTACTTTCACCTTGTATGACATTTTCTTATAAGTACAAGTAACGGTGACAAACCACCACACAGTTCACTTGATGTTACGCGAATTTTGTAACCAATAGAGACACCTTAAACTGAACTCGACTTAGTATGCGATTATTTTTATAGTATACTAGCGATCCGCCCCAGTTTCGCACGGGTGATTTTTGGATCTCGACAACAGCTCAACCTACCGAGTCCATTTGTGATTCATCCAGGGACCCCACTCAAATATACACAAAGAATTTCATCAAAATCGTCAATTTCGAGCAACAGATTTTTATATATGTAGTAATACTGGCTTAAACAAGGATATTAGGGTAACTCAATAGGTAGGTTCCATATTATTATATATTAAGCAGCCTTTAAGTCCACAACTAGACCTAGATTTTTCGACGAATGCGTAAATAAACGCTGAAACAAGCAGCTTTCCAACCACTATATGTAGACTCTTAAATAAAAATCAAGAGTGTTAGTTTATCGCAAGATGCCGCTGCACAAGCATTATCTATTAAAATATGTTGCATTGCGTGATTAACACCCCACATATAAAACTATCCCGTCGAACATTACGACATACAAGAAATGTATGTGTACGTAATTCCAAAATCGATATTTTTTATTTTTTCATTACAGCCTGAGTTCAGTACTGCATGGGCTCCCCATAAATGGTTTAATAGGTAATATTTGCCATAGTTGCCATATGGGAAAATGTTGCTGCCATGATCTCATTTGTTTCCGTCTGTCGCCTCTTACAATACCTACGGGAGGATACTCGTATGTGGTATGGGTTATTCTTACATCGCCACTAAATGGTTAAAAGCAAACATAACTAATCGATATTATCCTTATAAAATTAATCATTAATTCAATATTGAAATTGAGTTTGTGTATTTGGGATGTGTATTTAGCAGGGATGGTAGATATGATAAGGATATAGAACGACGAGTAAATGTAGGGAATAGAGTGAATAGGGCACTACACTCTATTATGAAGAATCAGAATGTGTCAAAAAAGGCACGTATGGTAATTCATAATGCTCTGTTAGTCCCTACTTTAATGTATGGTAGTGAAAGCTGGGTGTGGCAGAAGAAGCACGAAAGTAGAATAAATGCTGTTGAAATGCGGTCTTTAAGGAGTATGCTAGGGTTGAATCTGAATGACAGGGTGAGAAATTGCGTGATAAGAGATAAATGTGGTATGCAAGATGACGTTGTGACCAGGATTAAGAAAGGAATGCTTCGGTGGTTTGGTCATGTAGAAAGAATGAATGAGGAAAGAGTGACAAAGCAAATTTATATGGCAGATGTGAACGGCCGAGTCGGGAAGGGACGCCCTAGAAAAAAGTTTAGCGACCAAATTGGCGATATTTTGAAAAGGAGCCACGTTAGAAGTACCCTTAACCGACGAGCATGTATGCGTAGATATATTGGATGTAAAGGAGGCGAAAGAGGTATGTCAGGATCGTGCCAAATGGAAGTCCGTAGTCTCTGCCTACCCCTCTGGGTGACAGGCGTGAGTGTTTATGTATAATATTGACTCTATTAATTGTAGCAATATCATAAAATTACGAATATTCTAAATACAACTTTGAAAATATACTATGCTTCTATTTTTATTGTTAAAGTGTCGAGTGAACAAGCGTCTACTGTAACTTCATATGGCTAATATCAAGTTTTGGAAACCAAAATATTTCGACACAAATAATTTAATATAACACAACATATCGATATCAAAACGGGTTGAAAAATTTGTTTGCGTATACGATCACTATCGTAAGTAATGAAAACAAGTATTTTTTTTTTTTAGAAAAATATTCTATTACGGCGTAAACAAGAAGTTGTTTTTCTCAAGAAACTTCAAGAAATATAAAACAAAATTGAAATCGTCTGTTTGATTCTGATTATACCGGTATATGTTGCAATACCATTTTCTGGCAGAAGCATTCACGGGCGTACGTTAAACAACACACTAAATTCTGCATCTTTCTCAGATGAATAACATAGGAACGCATAGAAATCGAATACCTATACAAACTAATATTAAATGTTTATCAAAAATATTTGCGGGCCGGCGCACAGCCACTCACTACATAACATCGTAATTGCATAAATTATATAGGAGAATATATACGAGACAAAGCAATATTTATTTTTATATACATAATTATTGCTATATTATACCTATATATTTAAATATATCTATTTGTATCGACTCTATGTTTACCAATCTATTTCAATAACGTCAAAATCAAGCATAAAAAAATTACGAAACAAGCAACAATGCGAACGTAAAGCCAAACGGACCCAATATCAAATGAATTTTTATTACATTAAATAAGTTTTTATTCAGTAAAAACGCAAACAAAAACTAATCTTACACAGTTTCGTGTAGTGAAAAGGCAAGCATCAACAAAACTTGTTATATGACTTATTTTATACGACAAGTTTCGAAATATATAACAAGTTGGATGTAGTTGGTGCAAACAATCGGATAGCGCTACCATCTTTAAAAGCTATTTATTGGATCAGTTCCCGAATTCCTACAAATGTTACTGATTGCAGAGTATTATTTACTATTATCAAAAATGATGAATAGGCATGTCTGTGTACGTAAAATATTTAATCATAATATAATAAGAAAAAATTCTGAAGTCGGTGGTAAGACGAAGAATTAATGCCGTGACTTTAGAAGCTATTTGGTAGAATTTATTATATTACTTTTCGTTGTTTAAAGTCGGTTATTACTTTTTAAAAATAGTGTAATCTTTTCAACATTTTTGTACCCAGCAATTAATTTTGTTATCGTTTCGTATTGAACTTCAATTTATTAAATAATTAATTAAATAATTAATAAATTGAAGTTCAATACGATAATACTAAGTTAATAAGATACTATACAAATAGGGAACGAAGTTATTTAACGCAACTGATATTGTAACATCCGTTTCTAAAGTCGGTGGCTCCCGACGTTAAAAGCAGTTATGGTGGAAATTATTTTATTATTTTTGGTTTTTAAAGTCGAATTTTACTTTTTCCGGCTACGACAACAACTTCAAAAAGTTTTGTCGGTTTTCTGCCGGCAAAACACGTAAGATAAATAATATATTAACCTCTCAACTCCCTAGCGGTCTCATGAGACCGCGGCCATATACCGTCAAATCCCTAGCGGCCTCATGAGGTCGCACCCACCTACAGCATTTAACCCACTCCCCCCAATCAGAGACTACTTTTCTATGATGCGACCGCTCGGGATTTGACGGGCGCATGCATCTGCATGGGATTTTTATGGCGCTTGAAGGGTTAAAATTATGATTAAAAAATGCTTCTACTTTGTTTACACGGTAATATTTGTTCAACAGGTTGTGCCTTGCCTTATCTGTGCCGTAATATGTAACTATGAACATCAAGAATAAGTTTAAAGTTAAGACTTTGATGTGTTATGAGCTTACGAGTTATGACTTATGATTTTTTGATGAAGTGTACGAATAATTGTTTCGTCTTTTCTTCGTGTACGGTTGTTTTAATTAACATAGATATGTTATATGTACGTCACATTAAATTATACGTAATTTTCCGCAATTAATGATTATTAATATTATAGTAATTAGACATTTACAACATTATTGTAAACAGTAGTTTTTTAATGATTTCTTAAATTTACGCGAACACTACACATTGAATAAAACTAAATTTACGGATTTTATCGCGTTTATTTCACTACTTTTACTTATTTTTTTTTAATTCCCGACGTTTCGGGTGCTTTACAGCAACCATGGTCACGGGGGGGGACTGAGATGTTTGACGTCCCAATGTCATAGTTAGTCCGGCTACCTTCAGTTTTTGAATATTAATTTTTTTAATTTTTTTAATTTTTTTTTTAATTTTTGGATATTAATTTTTTTTTTAATTTTTTTTGCGTAAATCAGACCAAAAATTTAATATTCAAAAAACTGAAGGTAGCCGGACTAACTATGACATTGGGACGTCAAACATCTCAGCCCCCCCCCGTGACCATGGTTGCTGTAAAGCACCCGAAACGTCGGGAATTAAAAAAAAAATAAGTAAAAGTAGTTTTTTACTAAAAGAAAAGATAAAAATATTAAAGTGGCACACAAATAAACAGTTCACTTGAGAGCAAGTGGTTACAGCAGCCTATAGAACCTGCAGTCAACTCCAAACAATGATGTTCGCAAATCCGGTTACAGCCTTTGACACTTTTTTTTAAATCTTCTATTGAAATAATACGAAATCCCTTCATCATCATCATTACAGCCTTTCATAAGTCCAATGCTGAACAAACGCCTCCCCCAAGAAATGCCATAAAGCACGGTCTTGAGCCAACTGCATCCATCGACTTCCTGCATGTCTCACCAGGTCGTCACTCCATCTAGTGGGGAGACGCAATACACTTCACCTACCGGTACGTGGCTGCCCGAGAAGAGAGAGAAAGCTATATGGATGGCCCATTGCCACTTCAGCTTACTAATCCGTTGGGCTGTCGGTTACTCTGGTTCTACCGCGGATATTCTAGTTTTTAAGTCTATCGCGCAGGCAAACCCTGAGCATAGCCCTGTCCATAACTCGCTGAGCGACCTCGATCTTTCTCATACGGCCAGCAGTGAAGGACCACGTCTCAGATCCATAGGGCATCACTGGCAATATGTACTTTGTGCAATGTTGTACTGGTTGTACAATGTTGTTTTGAAGTTTTTAAAGTATGCCTCTAACGAAATCCCTTACAGACTGTAATCATATCTCCTTAGTTCTCTGCTGCATGACGGCAAAATTATAAAGGAAAACGATACTGGTTCAGGCGGAGTCTGAAGCAGAAATGAATCCTTACTACTTAGTAAACTTAGTACTAAAAAGAAACGTAATATTACCTGCAACTCTCGCGTGGTGTACTGCTGTACTTTTATCCATAGGAATGATCGCAAATTGTTCAGGAGTCCCATCCCTCCCGTACCTCCTCCTTGCAGGAATTTCAGGAATACGTAAATGACGACCAGGTCCCATCGGTAGTGTATCGGAGGTATGGATATACTATCAACTGTAACCGGAAGTACAAATTTAATCATACATCTTACAACATTAATAAATTACCGTCTATAATATTAGATAAGTGCGTTTTCGTTTGTAAGGATTCAGAGTTCTGCTTTTAAACGAATGATTGATTGGCTAAAAGATTTTTATCTATATTTTTTTTCTTATTGCAATCGCCGCCCACAGTTCTTAACATATTTTTGCTAGGCATGTGCTCTCTCATAGATGGGAGTATTTCGTATAATCAACGCATAACGTAATTACGACCACAACTATTGGCATAGCTTACAAGTAATTGTTCCAGGTCTGGATATGTAAAATGCCTTCACAATATAGAAAAAATCTATAATGGGGGTTATTTATATAGATAATATAGAAAAAAGTACTTGTATTTTCCCGATAAAATTTTACGTTCAAAAGAAATTTTTCTTACACTGAGAGAAGCCATAAAGAATAAGGAAAAGTCAAAATTAAACCCCCTTATTATTAAAAACATTACGACTGGAATAGCGTTGTATTAACTTCAAATATATGTTTAATATCGAGCACAAGGTCTATATTCAATAATAATTTGCACTAGTCCTAGGGTGTTGGTGGTAAAATCATTACGTGTTTATTATAAAGGGGTACATAGTTTTAATAAGATGATTAATCATTTAGTACGTATAATGTTTTCTGTTAGAAAACATTACAGAAGTTAGCACAATTAATTTATTTCTCTATACTGTTTGGGTTCGAATATATAATTACCTACTTAATATGTACGCAATCGACATATGAAACGTAAACAATGATATTACCAATTTTCTTATTATAAATCGGTACATAAAGATTGATCGCGCGTCCAGCAACCAGCGCCATGATGCATATTAGTACGTAAATCTGTAACTGCAGACTCCTCCGGGGCCATAGGAACGGCAGCAGTGTGCGTAGTTTTCCAAAAACATTGCGGAACGTAGACCTGTTTTCATCCTGCGGGTAAGGGAAATAAATCATTTAATGGATGCTGTACTACATGTCGACACCGTATATCTTTCTCATTCGATAGCAAAATTAAATAATTTTGATATGGACATGACATCTTAACCTACAACCTGTGATAAATTAATCTGTTACTTTTTCTTCTTTATAATCGTCTATGGTAAGCAAGGAGTTTTATTATGAAATATAATGTAATTAATACGTCTGTTAATTACGTTTATCGTGGTTATTAGATTATATTTTGCAGTTAAATTATTAAAATAACGCATGACTGCGACTTTCACTAATATTATACTTTACTTAGAAGTGGTATTATATATTATTGACAAACGTCTTCGATTCACTCGGCCAAATTTCCAAACTGTTGAAAACACAGAAATCTAAATTAATTGCCTTATTATTTAGATTTCTGTGGTTGAAAAATAAGCATGCGGATTCTTTGCGGACTCCGTCAACGGGACGGAACATTAGGAAAGAGCACGAAATGAACATGAAGTTACAATGTATTCTTATTCTCATACACTTGTAGAAGATAAAGAAAAGAAAATTTATAAATAATCGCTAATACGACAGTTTCATCCTTTGGTGCATCTTGACTCGTATTTTTCGGGGAATTCTCGCGTACTGTGCACGCCTGGCCCTCTTCTTACGATCATTTTAGAGATCTTATCACTCTTAATAGAATCAGGCGTTACCAAAAATTTGTAGTAGAGTAGTGGTGCTGGGATTAGTGGTGACGAAGATATTTTCACGCAATTGAAGGAGGGCGGGAGATGCCCTCCAAACTAGGTAAAAGCGAATCATTTTATTTCACTAGGCGGAAATAAGCAAAGTAATTTTACCAACTTTAAGAGATCTTACCGTTTGGGCGCTTAAATTTTACTGCTAAATCTATTTTTAACATCACATCATTACATCTAATGTTAAAAATTGTTATCTATGTATGAGAACAGATTTAAATGAAAAGCTAATCAATCTTACGACTTACAATTCCCATAGATTGTGTAGAGTGGGACAAATTTGATTTTTGTTACGGTATTATCTCAAACAGTTCGAAACTCTTTTTGTTACGGGATCGTGGGCATAGTTAGTATTGAAACTATATTACAGTATTCATCTGTTTTATCGACAAGAGGTACATCGTTGCTATCAGCTCACCTTTGAGCTCAGGATGAATTTCATTAAATTATGCGTGGTAGAGCCATACTGTAGCTATATTAGTAGTACAGTTGTAGCACGAATGGGTCGGCTCGACCGGGGAAGGACCACGCTCTCACAGGATACTACCGTGAAATAGTAGCTTAACGCTGCTCTTTTGTATGTTGAGTGTAGAGACTGGAGACTCTTTTTACTGGAAACGAGGCATTGCATCTTAGTTCTCAGGGGTGACAACGCATCTGCATTTTGATTCGTAATCGAGAATAGATGTAGATGTCTATGCGCCACAGCAATCACTTACCATCAGGTGAACTATGTGCTCGTTTGTCACCCTATCCTATAAAATAAAAATTAAAAATAAAATAAATGCTAGCATCGTATTAAAGAGATTATAATTTAGTTGTAAACTTATCGATAATAAACGGATAAACATAATACTAAGCTTTATGATGTTATTAAAAAAATGATTGTTACAGTTATTGAATGACCACTCATTGGACATTAAAATAATTGTTAATTGGCATTTCTAGTTATCGAGAAAGATTTGCCTTAATCTCACGTTTGGAAAGCGGATTGGATTGTCAACAGCAGCAGTAACACACATTTCGCAACTTTAAAGCTGCTCGCCGTCGAGAAAACCTTTTAGTTTAACTCTTTCCCTGTCCCGTGACCCACATATGGGTCATTGCAATAGTAATAGCAACTTAACACTTTCATTGTTCGATTTGCAGACACAACACATGGTCTTACGAATTGAACAATGAAAGTGTTAAGTAAAGATAATAGCCTTATTTTATCTCAACTAATGAAGTCCAAATAAATGTACTGTTATGCCGATCAGTTATAGATACGAGCAAATTTATATATAAACTTTATATTTTATTACGAACGAGAAGAGAGGTCAAACGAGTTAACCTAATGGTAAATGAATGGCAATGTTATTTACGTGCTCATTTGTGAATCTAAATGACCAACGTTTTACATACATATGACATAAGTTTCGTTAGTTACTGCCATTATTTAAAATGTTGTGTATGTGAGTTCGCGCACTCATCAGTGTGTCTATATTGAAAATATTATCAAAACTATGCAGTCATACACTTAAATTTTCCTACACCTGTAGATTTACACATCTGTGTAAAAATGTACACACTTAATAACTATTATATAAAAAGTCTTTAAATAAATAAAACACAAAAATAAAACAACAAATACATACACCGTGTTCTGAAACTCAACGTCAAGCGGGCACGGGGCTTCAGTTATATAAACGTACTATTTAATCGCAGTGACAAATCAAGCAAAAAAGGTTGCTAGGTTAGTTCAAATTAACGTAGTTTCTTTTAGTCGTGTTTGAAAAAATACATTCACCTAACTTTGACTTTTCATTTAAAAAAATATATACAGTACTACCCAAATGCAAATTACTTTAAAAGATGGCCCATTTAGAAAATAAAATTAATTTGATTTTCTGAAATAAGACTATAATATATATATATATATAAAAATATATATATATATATATATATATATATATATTAATCATAACTGTAAAATTGAGAAAAGTATGGTCACAATATCCAGTGATATGATTTAAGGTGTCGGATTTTCTTCATTTTCATAAATTTATCAGTTATAACTCTTATTATTATCAGGCTGGTATGACACCCCTCACGCTCCGTGCCCGCGTGACGTTGAGTTTCGGGACACATTGTACACACTTATAAAGCAAAATAGAGAGAGAAAACAAAAGTCGGATAAATAAGGTGGTATTCTCGAAATAGTCTCTTAAAATAATTCTTGTTACTAGTTTTCTTGATATCCACATGCAGGGCATTCCAGAGCAGTATAGACTGCACAGTAAAAGAGGAATTAAAGAAATTTGAGCCCATTTAAGCTTAGAACGGTACTGGGAAACATGGTCTTACGTGCTTACGTAAACCGAATTAATGTAATGCAATTGTTGTTGTGGTTGTTGAAAGGCGCTCCAATTTATCGAGAAGATATTGAGATGGATCTGGGTAACACACATCCGCATAATCAATAATGGTCAATATCAAAGACTGGATAAATGAAAGTTTAAATGTAAAAGGCAAAAAGTTTTTGAGACGACAAAAAGAACGTAAGGTAAAACTTTACGGCTTATTTCGGCAACTTCAACTCCACAGCTTAACGTATAGTCTATATATAAGCCAAGATTTTAGAAACACAGTAACAAAATAGCAGAAACGTTCCATCGTAAAAAATTCACAACTGTGTGCACGATTGCCACCCTTATTCTATAAAATTAAACACCATATCTGTAAGACCAATCTCTTATGGCGTCAAGGTTGTGGTTGAGTTTATTAATATTATCGTCAAGGTCGTTAACACTAGATTGCATATAGAGCTGAAAATCATCAGACGGCACGAACAGTTGGAAACCGAAGTGAAAGATTTATAAATAAAGACAGCATTATAGGAAAAACTGTTTCGCCTTGTACATGTGAGTGACCAGCATTTTAATTACTACTAAATTTCTGAATTTAAATGAAGCTTTTACCACTCCATCACTATCATTCCCGCCCTTTGGAACTCCACATATGATCATAGGCCACCCCAAAAAAAATTCGCACACATATTTAATTACCACATCCCATTTTAGGTATAAATGTTACCATATTTTAATGTATTGAAGAGACTTGAAATAACGTAAAATAGTATGTTTAATTTTTCAACATATTTAATTTTTTTATCTACATAAAACTTATGTCTTAATAATAACGCCAACACCTAATTTCCTTCCATTGTCCGTAATATGGGATATAACAAATAAATTTTATACTTAAAGAAAAAAAAGCTCAAGTGTACTGGCGCGTCCAATCTTCTTTCTTGATATATATATAAATTACGTGTCACGTTGTTTGTCCGCGATGGACTCCTAAACTACTTAACCGATTTTAATCTTTGCACACCCTGTGCAGTTTGGTCCAACTTGAGAGATAGGATAGTTTTTTTTTTGCCCATGAGTGACCCACAATTATTATTTTTGCGAATTTAAGGATTTTTAATAGGACATGACAAGGAGTTGTCGAAAAGGGCAGAACAACGTCTGCCTGGCAAGCTAGCAATAGTATACAGCTCGCGGGATTACGGTCACGCGACGGGAATCCGTCATACGCTGCTATGAATTTTGAAGAAATAGATGCACACTTGTACCAACGCGCATGTACCGCTTTCGGTTATGCAGCACGCTAAGGTGTGCGTATGAAGGAATTAAGTTTAAAAAATACAAAACACAACTTTATAATATTAACAATTTATAATTTTGACAACAGCAAAAAATGAAATTGACATACCCTAGATGATAAGTTTCTGCGGGCGCCATCTTCATTCTCCAAACACTCAAATTGGTGCATGATGCCTGGAGCCTTCATTCCAAGTATGAACATTATCATGCATGATACATAACGTCCTACAAAAAGCGACATTTCTAGACGATCTTGTAGACTGAAAAGATATAATTTTATTAACAGAATTATCATTAATTCCGATATTACTTTTTTTTGTATTCATAATAACTTGTGCACATTTAAACCTGCTTTAAATTTTACTTGCCGTGTGGTGATGGCAAAAGGAAATCCAAACTCATTTCACCCCCAGGATGAGCAAAAGGCAAGTATTGGAAATGGCTTTTTATACATGGCGGTATAACTATCACATTTAAATCGGACCGGACGTAAAATACTCAGACCGGCGACCAGAGGCAGCGTCTAAGATGCGAGATTAGTACTAAGATCACCAATCCGGATGCCAAATTTGACGATTAAGGTAAATCCCCCTGCAATGAGATAGGCTCACGTCCGGCTGTGAACTTTTACCGGAAGAGGAGGAAGAAAACTACAAAATATTGTATTATACTTTGAAACTGTTATTGGTATTTAATAGGACCAACGCACCAAAAAATAATTATAATATACTTTTTTCTCCGTATGAAAAGAAAAAAGTGACCTTGGTCACTTGGTCACTATTATAACAATAATTTACAATTAGTTATAAAAACGATAATACGTACTTCCTTAGATGCCACCACCATCCTTCTTTGTTAAGATTCAAAAATGATAGATTCTCCGATACAAAAATCATGGCCCAAAAAACAAGCAGCACAAAACCATGACCTCTCGGAGGTACAGAAGGTAACAAATAGCGTTTTTCTAAGACAGCTAAATAAGCTGACAGCGGAAATACAATAAGGGTCACTACCAAAGCTACAATCTGAAACAAAGTTGTTTATAATGTATTATATATAGATTATAAACACCAATAAGCCGCTTGCAAAAATAAGGTTTCCTGATTAGGTTCAAGATCATGTTTTCCGTATTCGGGCACTCAAACGCACGCATTACATACAAAAAATTCTACACGCTGTATGACATTCTACACACGTGAGTAATATTTCAGGATGAGATAAGAGACGATTCCTGACGTTCCTCACACTGACTTTTATTTTTATGATGATGTACATGTATGTATACTCATAAATTATATATTATAAATAGCTTTTAAATTATATATATATATATATATCTGCAGCGTGGCTATACGTGGTAGAGCCAGGCTGCATCTATATTGTTTGCAGCACGATGGGTTGGCTCGACCTGGGTAGATCTGGACCACGCTCTCACAGAACACCACTCTAAAATAGCAACCTAAAGCCGATTATACATGTTGGTAGAGCGAAGTCGCTTTCACTTATGTATACTCTCAGTCTTTCAATCCTTTTTATGCACTGCTATATACTTTTTCAAGAACGTGCCAGGAGGCATGCATTTCTTTAGATCGTTGCCTTTACACTAAAAAGTATCAGCTCGGGGAGCACTAGTGTGCACACATCCTATATCCTGGGAATGGTAATTTATTTATTTATATATATTTATATTCTTCTTCTTTAAGTGCCTCTCCATTACTGAAGGTCGGCAGTCATTCTCTTAAATACTTCTTTGTTCAGGGCTAGCCTGAACAGATCTTCCACTTTCTTTATCCCGGTCCATTTGCGGATGTTACAGAGCCAGGAAATTTTCCTTCTACCAACACTTCTTTTACCCGCTACTTTGCCCATCATAATAGTCTGCAGCAGTTGGTAATGTTCATGTCTTAGCACGTGTCCTAAGTACGCAACTTTACTCTGATGGTTTTGACAAGTAGGGGCTTATTGCTTTTCATCTGCTTGAGGACCTCAATGTTGGTAACTTTGTCTGTCCAACTTATTCGGAGCATACGGCGATACATCCACATTTCAAATGCTTCCATTTATTTATATACATTACATTAAATTTATAAAGGTGGACTTCAGTGTACCTTAGAGTAGTGCAGAGATAAAAGAGGTAGGTAAGCAACGTATAGTAAGCCCATTTGTCTAGCCTCGCCATTGCTAGTCGTCGCTCGCGTAGCTGGCCGAGAGCTCACGAGCGCCAACGTGTATATGGTTCGTTTTGCGTGCCTTGGCACCACTCGGGATCGCTCGACACGACTCGTTTCACTTCGGAACAGTGTCAGTTTTTCTGCACAAGTCAAAGGCGCTCGCCTGCACTCGGCAAATCGTGTCCACACGTTAGTCGGTCATGTTAGTATGTTCACTCTTTCAAACTTGACCAACATGTAGACTGTAGCTCTCACCTTTTATACGTGGTAGAGCCATGCTGCAGTTATATTAGTAGTATAGTTGTATCACGAATGGGTCGGCTCGACCGGGGAAGGACCACGCTCTCACAGAATACCAGCGTGAAATAGTAGCTTAATGCTGCTGTATTTCGTATGGTGAGTGTAGAGAACGGGAGACCCTTTTTACTGGAAACGAGGCATTCCATCTTAGTCCTCACGGGTGACAACGCATCTGCATTTTGATTCGCAATCGAGGATAGATGTAGATGTCTATGGGCCACAGCAACCACTTACCATCAGGTGAACTGTGTGCTCGTTTGTCACCCTATCCTATAAAAAAAAACCTTGTATGAATTTGCCTACGCTCGCGTTGGCTGTAGCTTGGCCAACATGTATTGCCGGCTTAATAGCCCTGTCGTAATAGCGTGTAATCGTATGGTGAGTGTAGAGAATCAGAGATTCTTTTTACTGGAAACGAGGCATTCCATTTAAGTTCCCAGGTGTGATAAACGCATCTGCATGTTCATTCTTATTTGAGAATTAGTGTAGAAGTCTAGGATGTCTAGGAGCTACAGCATCCACTTACCATTACTTGGACTGTCTTTTTTTATTTTTGCTTTTTTTTAAATTAAAAATCAAATTAAATATGATTAAGTTAGTCAAAGTTACAACCTATATACGTCCCACTGCTGTACACATGCCTCCTCTCATTCTGAGAGGGTTTAAGGCAAGGAAGTGTCCACCGCGCAAACCCAATGCGTGTTGGTGAACTTCACATGTCCTCGAAATATATTTTTTTCTTATTTCTCAGACATGCAGGTTTCCTCACGATGTTTTCCATCACCGTCGAGCACGTGGTAAATCAGCACATAAGATTGCAATTAACAATTTCGTTGGTGCCGGCAGGGATCGAACCCGTGTTGCTCGTGTACTGTAAAATCTACAGCGAGCGCTTAGCCTATGAGCTACCTACCACGGCTCTTAACATGATTAATTTGTTTTTGTTTTTTTATTTCCGTACAATACTTCTTAGAAAAATTAAATTATTAATGGCCCCCACTTTTCGTAATGGATTCTGAATGCAGATTCGTAAAGTATCAGATTTTAGTGACATTCTGTAAAATCGAAGAACGCATCTGGATGTGCTTGTAATTTTGCTCTTTTGAGATTAAATGGACTCTTTTATTCACTGTGTACAATAGATGTACCTACCCAATAACGACCTTTCGTCTTGTTAAGTACCAGCAAGAGCGCAATTAACGTACGTTTACAAAAGCGTTACTGAACGTACTCGTAGTGCTAAATTCCAAATGTTAAGAAACGCATGTGCATTCTAGGCTGACGGGATTTAGCATATAAATTGCTGATACGGAAACCTTATCAGGAAACGTGACATTTTCTGAGTATATGTAGTTTTATTTTATCTCTTACAAAACAATTCTATATAACATCACTGTTTAGGGTATTGTAATTTGAAATACTCGTAGATGAGCGAATATTCACTCCCAATCGAAACTAATGAAATTGTTTTAAATTATCTTTTGTCACATGCTTAGGGGTGAGAGATAACATCGTGCGAAAACTCGTTTCTCAAAAATTTTAAAAAATATGACATACCAATACGTATCTTGGCAGCGTGGTGGAATTTTTCCTGTAAGAAAACCGTCTTAAAAACGAGAGGTAGTCGGTAGAGGTATAGATGGATGCAAGTGGGACCGTACAATTTGCACGGCACGATCCTAAGATACAGAGCTGTATCCATCGTACGTATGTTTAACGTAGAACTTGTGTAATGGGCTGTAATAATGATGATAAAATATAATAGGGAAAGTTTCTTCATTTTCATTTATGTATAAAATTGAAGATTGAAGAACCTGTGGTTATACTGTTTGTATCTGGCTTGTTTTATTATCAATACATAAAGGACATTAACAAAAAGAAAAATTAAAAGTAAAAAAAACACATTCCCGCCATTTTTCAATTGTTTTTCTGTCCGCCAAAATGAGTTAAACTAAAGAAGAAATAAGATACATTCTGAAGTTTTTTCCTTTCTTACAAGAAAGGAAAAAATGTGACTCAAGCTGCGAAAAAGCTTTGTAACGTCTATGGACCTAATGTAGTGTAAGTAAGAGTAGCACAAAGTTTTCAAGCGTTCTCGGTCCGGGAATTTTTATAACAATGATGTAGCAGCTCGCTCTGGTCGCGCTCATACGGATAGTTGATGCCATTTTTGAAAAACTGCAGCAAGATCATATATAGTAGTAACGACAGAGCCGAGGGAATGAAGTTAATGAACCTGAAAGAAGCGAAAGAGGTATGTAAGGATCGTGACACTTGACAAACTTCTCCTACCCCGATGCGAAGTAAGTAAGTAAGTACAGAGCCGAGCCGAATTGAGGATTGACCACAAAACTGGTTTGACCCATTTGAAAAAGTCTGCCTATATAAAAAAAAACCTGGAATTTTGGTTACCACACGAGCTCACTGAAAGAAGCCTAATAAACCGTGTACTCATTTGCGAGTCTCCATTAAAACGTAATGAAACCTAAACAGTTTTTGAAAAAATTGATCACTGGTGATGAAAAGTACGACAAGAAAGTGCGAAAAAGATCATGATCAAAGAGTAGTAGCTCCACAGACTGTAGCTATACCGATTTACAAGCAATAAGGTGATGCTGTGCGTATGGTGCGGTTGGAAGGGCATCGTTTATTATGAGCTTTTATCGAAGGGCAAAACCATCGATTCGTATCTCTACTGCCAACAACTAATGAGACTCAAACAAGAAATTGAATTGTCTTTCATAATGATAACGCCAGACCACGCACATCTATGGCCACTCAGAAAAGAATGATAGATCTTGCACCCTCAGATTTTCTTCAGAATCTTTTTATCTTATTTACGACTTACCATATAACCATAGATATGTCCTCCCTTAAATAGAAGTGCCTGTAATAGGAATCTTATCACTGCTAAAACAGGTACAAATAGTGTGAAAAATAATTGTACAGCAAACCATTTTGAAGACCTAACATCTACCACTTCAGTGGCATATCTGAAACAAAGAAATTATTTGTTATTATGCAGTAATAATATACATAATTCATGTGCAAATTAATAACTTTAACAAAAAAGCAGAAATATTGGATAAATTATATTATAGGGAAATATACAAGATAGATAATAATAATATAGAGATATAAAAATATATTATATCTTTCTTCTTATAACGAATACTCAAAAACTCTAGATGTTATCCATAATTAACACACATATTATGACAGAACAAAATTATATTAGAGTCGAATCCTTAAAGCGACGTTACAGTACTTTTTAACTTTTTAGAACCCTTGTAAATCTACTTAAATGTAATTATAGCGCAAAAACAAAATAATTTTATAAAAATTGCTGATACGGGGAGGGCAGTGTGAAGATACGAACAACAAACAAAAAATAGCTTTTAAAAAAGTAAAAGCCAGCTTCAAATAAATAAAAGAATAAAATAATTAGACATTCTGAAGTAGAGGCTTTCATTCTTCAAATTATATAATACTCATAGTACCGACTTCAGAATGTGAATAATTTTGGAGTAAAAGGTCTTTGAGTTAACTAAGAAATACATTGAAGTAATATGTACTTACGTACTAGAACAGCTATTTCAAACAAAAAATGTGCGCTACTCTGTGTTCGCGCGGATGGTTTTTTATCATAGAATAAGCATTGGTAGAATGATCCGTAGGTAATAGTAGATTGTATTGACAAATAGGTAAATTATATCGAGAACAATATTTAAATTTTGTCATTTATTTTGTATATTATATTTGCTTATTTAATATAATATTACATAATATTATCAAAATTAATTTAATATTATTAGGTCGTGGGTTCGAATCCGCCATTCGACTACTGGCGTGAACCACTTGTAACACAAGCAGTTTAAACTTACTACGAGTGGTTAAGGGGAATATTAGTAATGTTTATAGCATTGGTAATATCCTTTTTTTTATAAAAAAATATTATCAAAATTACATTTCAATGATATTTTTATCTAAATATTTTAAAAGGTAATGTGTCTATGTCAAATATAAAAAAACATACTAAATGTACGTTTAACAAAACTTATTAACATAACATTTAAATTCAAATACTTATATTTATTTAAATTAGAACAAGAGTCGTTCATAAATGCTGGGCACGCGAGAGTTAAAAATGGACGAATTTATTCCACTTTGACTTTGATGTGGAAACCTAAAATTAAAATAAAAGAATAATAAGCAGATTTAAAAATTTGGCCTAATTTTAATAACTTGTATTTGTTACTTGAGTACCCACAGAAATGTCGGATCTGAACATATTAAATTCATAATCTATATTCCATGACACGAGATGGCGTCTAAGGAATAATTTGTTTTATTATTAATCTAAAATACTTTTTTTATTGATTAAGTATCTTATTAACCGATGAAAAGTAACTCCTTAGTTTTTACTGACATTTCTTGAATTATTTGTGCAAATTCTAAGTACACACGACGACATATTTTTATCAAAAGATTTTTTTTAAATAAACACAACACGTGAAAACTCTATAAGCGCCTAGCGAGTGACTGATTAAAGTGCGGTGTATGCACCGCAGTTGAGTGGAACACAGTAGCTGAATGCAGTGTCGCCTCTAGTACGTAAGTACATAATAGCTCAATGAAGAAATATCACAATCTCAAAGTCGTCTAAATAGTAAGATTTAAAATTACATATCGTGTTTTACCACCATCACGGGTGGAATGTTGTCTAAAAATTTATATGGCACTACTCTTGAAGTAACCTATATTATTATCATAAAAAAATCATCGCAAGCGGTTCATTCACGATTGACGAAGATATCACTTAAAATACATTTAAAAAAAAACACAGACGTATTGTAAGATTTCTCCTTTAGCTCAAAACTTACATCAAATGAAAAAAGCGTTTTATTATTTAGGACATTAAGCCTTAGATACTTAGGTAAATTGTACCGTCTTAGCGTAGCAACAGTCTATTCGCTTATGCCTTGAAGACATCTAGATTGTAATCTTACGAAATGACAGACGCCAGCAAATTATTCCACTTTTTTGCTGTACGCTTAAGTAACGAAAGACGAAGTAAACCATTTGGTTCTAATACGTGGAATATCAACAACAAAGGGGTAAAGGCCCACCAACCACCTTGTTGTCTGATGGTCTGAAAGGGAGGATGGAATTAGGCGTATGTAATTTCTGCGCTAACTCTTCGAAATGCATTCTATAGAATACCGAGAGACTGGCTAATCATGTCTGAGATCAAGGCTGACAAAATTGGTTTCATTTAAATCGAGGTTTAATGTTAAGTTAGAGAGGTCACGTCTAATGAGGTCAATGCTCCGTCCCTCTCGTGCTCTAATCAAAAGCTAAGAAAACTTTCAACTCGAATTACAGATTTATAAGCGACAGTAGCCTAATGGCAGGGTGCGAACCGCGAACTCAAAAAGGTCGTGGGTTCGAATCCGCCATTCGACTCCTGGCGTGAACCACTCGTAACACAAGCAATTTAAGCTTACCTCGAGTGGTTAAGGGGAATATTAGTAATGTTTATAGCATTGTTAATTTTCTTAAAAAAAAAAAAACAAAAAAAATAGTGAAAACCACAATACAGTGGACGATATGAATGACAATATCATGGAAACTGACCATGCGGTCGGAGCTAAGTTTAAGTTCGCAGCAAGACCCGTCGCAGAAAAACCCAAAAACTCTCCAATCACACTCTGAATCTCATGGCCGTTAGACGGGAAATGAAACTGCAGTCTTGAACAAATATAACAGCATACGTGCAACTGATCAGACATATCTCCAAATACATGCTGCCAAATTTATGCAACTTCAATACAGCTTGTATTGAAGGAGCGATCGAGCGTAACACAGTCTTTGCAAGGGCTCTGTCTGCCAGAAAGAGCAAGCTGTCGAAGTTGAAGACCGAATGTGTTAGCATCGTTTACGGATCGCCTGAGATTTTAAGTAAGATTAAGAGGTTCTACAGGCAGCTGTAAATGTTGCAGGCAGTGTACGTTAGAGCAACACGCAAGTGTGAGTAACGATCCAAGAGTAAGTCTTATCAGACACTATTCAGATTATATCGCGGACGTAAGTCTGAGTGAAATTAGAATAGCTCTCCAGCACCTTAAAAACAGTCGAGGATAGAGGACAGCGGAACACAAACCACATACATACCCTTCGGCAAATTGTACATAGGACCGAAGAGTACAATCTCCCACTTCGCCTTGCGTTTGTGAACTATGAGAAAGCCTTTGATACCATCGAAATTTGGGCGTTCCTATAGTCCCTTCAGCGGTGTCAATTGACTGTCAGTATATCGAAGTGCTGAACTGTTTGTACAATAGGGCTACGATGGCTATCTCAGTACAGAAGCAGAGTACGAAACCTCAGTAACGATACCTTTTCAACCTACTGGACTGGAAACGATACGGTATTAACATCAATGGCGAGTAGTACATAACTCATATTTGCCGGCGAAATAGTCTTTATGGCAGAATTACTGGAAGACCTAAGCACTATGCTCAATCGCCACAATAGTTTTCCCAACGGATAGGTCGTAAGTCGTAAGATGAACATCAACAAAATAAAAAGTCTATGATTAACATCCATGTCAAGCCTATGCCAGTAATAGTTATAATGTTTACCTTTACCGTGCAGTGGCGGTGTAAGAATATTCACCATCCCATATAGCCCAGTGGCGACACTTACGGGTCGATATGGGGCGACATATTGCCCCGTGGGTAAGAGCCCATTAGAGGCAACAGAAGTGGAGAGAGGAAAATAAAGCAGGAGATGGGCAGCAGCATCTCCCTAATAATGAAAAAAATAAAGATTCGTGGTTGCCAACTCGCTTGCCAAGCGTGGCAACTATGACCAATAACCCTCTTATGAGGCAATCTATGGTATGGCAACATAGGCCTCCGTTCAGCAGTGAACTTTGCTGGGCTGTAGCAGATGTTTACATAGGAAAAATAGTCCGACTAGGTAAATCCAACTTTGACAAGAGGTCAATCAACAAATACAACTAAGCTGGAGAACATTCGGGATATTACTACAAATCTTCTCGTCAGATATATGTTAAAACTTGAAAACAAGATCATACTACCAGCGTGTCGCCAGTGATGGCATATGGATCTAAGACTTGGTCCTTTACTGCTTACTGTATAAGAAAGCTTAAGGTCATTGAAAAAAATATATATGGGATTTTCTTTAAAGAGCTATCTTTGATATGCTTGGTTCCTACTTTGTACCTTCATCTTGCCACTTCACGTCATTGCACATGGCTTTATTGACCACATTGGATTGAGGAGTGGATGTGAATTCCCTCCTCCTGTGAAGGGTGGAAGTTGCAGATCCAGTAATTTAAGAAATAAAAAAAAATTATTTATTGCTTCCAGGTATATAAGTATCTTATCCGCCGTGCCTCAACCTACTACCACTAATAATACTTAACAGGTGGTACAGTAGAACCGGTTATAACGACGGCCAAGGGACCGGTGATATTACGTCGTACTAACCTAAAGTATTAAACGAACAGACAATTTTTGCTTTTTATTAATCACATACATAATGTATTATTATTTAGGAGACCAGTAGATTAAAAAAAAACATTTCAATCAAAATATTTATTTAATTGACATATGTCAACATACGTTTGAAATGTACTGATCAACTATATAACTTCGATGTAACATCTATAGTCAACCAAGGGTATGTTCCGAAATACAACGCAGTGTACTGTCCAATGCAAATGACGTCATGAATCGACGCTATACTGGTGATTCGTTCCAAAACATTGGACAGTATATGACGTCATACTTTTGCGCCATTTGGAAAAGTGTTGGCGATTATTTTGTCATTTTGTGCTCCAAAAATCATTATATCCTCCTAATGGATATACCATCAATTATTCTGTAATTTTTTGTATTTGAATAAATAGAAACAAATTCTGGCATGCTTCATTCGGCAAACACACAATTAAAAATTGTTTTATTATGGCGGCACATTATGATGAAACAGTTCAAAAAGTTAAAGCCGAGTCACAAAATAAGAAGACAAACACAAAATTACGCACAGTAAGCTTGCGTAATGGCGGGATATTGAAATTACGTAGTAGTTTTTTCAGCGCGGCCCTATATATGAGTTTTTTGTCTACACAAATTTACGTTGACAAATTAAAAAAAACTTGTTTTATTCATGATACATGTAATTTAAGGAATTTTAAAAGAAAAAATTAAATTAAACAAATAATACATTAAAAAATTAATGACTCGATTATTTAAATATTTTTACCGATTATTTGAATATTTTTGCCGATTATTCGCATAAAAATGAATTTTAATCATTCAAACACTACGGTAATGTAAATAGCGACATATCATTGAAATGACGTCAAGTAAAAAAAGTTGATACTGGTTATTTTTTTAATATTTTGCTTTGTTTGAAAGATTCAAATTTAAATTAGTGATACATAATTCATAATTCTTCGGATTTGCGTAAAATGTTATTTTAAATAAAGTGAGTACGCTTATGCAAAGTTATTGCGGAATGATTAATGTGAAACGTCAAAAGGTATTTCTTAGGTTTGCTTGACTATAGTGCTTATTTCTATAGTAAGAAGTACAGACTGCATTATGCAAATGAGGCATAATACTTTTCATAGTAACATCTTCAAAATTAGAATGTACAAACACATTTAGCACTTCTGCAGCTTTTAGAGCTTCAGATACACTAAGTGGTATAATTTTTTTCCAAACCGTCGTCATTATTATCGTTGCTATCTTGACTGTTGACAATAACATTTTATAGAATATTTTCGTCAGTCAGGTCCTCACACGTTGCGAGATCACCATCAATAGCAAAATATTGTTCAAGTTCTTCATTTTCTATAGGCGGTCTTTTATTCAGAGCCCCCACCCAGACAGACAGTGGCACATCATCATCATCATCGTCGGCAACAACACTGGCACTATCTCGAACAAATCTAGCATGTTTACAACAGTTAAAAATCATCACTGACGTAAGCTTGTTCCACGCGTCATAAATCATTAGAATGGTATCCAATATTGTGATCTTCGGATGTTTGGCACCGCTGGTGTCTTCATTCACATCAAGAGTGGCGACAAATTTCAGAACCAGGTTTTTACGAAAGTGTGATTTTAACGCTCGAATTATTCCTTGGTCCATAGGTTGTAATACAGGTGTTGTATTAGGAGGCAGGAAAATGAGTTATGCTTCTCAAGTCGCCAATTGCGTAATGAGTAAGACAATTTTCAACCAGAAACAGGATCTTTTTCTACTTTTTAGTCTGTTACGATCCCAATCAATTACCCATTTGATAAAAAATATCAAATGTCATCAAAGCCCTACGATTGCTCTCATAATCTACTGGCAGGGATCATACATTTTTGATACATTTTGGGTTCTTTGACTTGGCCATAATTAACAACTTAATTTTTATTGTGCCATTCATGCTAGCTGCCATCGTTATCACATTTATTTTGTCTTTCAAATGATTTCCTTTTCATTTTTCACCTTTAAATTTTCATGTTTTAATTTTCATTATGAATATCGTCGTTACTAAATTTTGCTCGCAAATTAAGCCAAACTCTTGTGTACTACTCGGTCACATCGCTCTGTTCAACCGACAAAGACTCTCCAGCAATTTGTCCGGCGAAAATATTATGCCTACTCTTAAAATAATTAATCCAACTTGCCGAGCAATCAAAATTAGGAATGGTTAGCTCTTTAGCAAAAAAATTTGCCTTTTGTTGAAGCATAGGCCCATATTCCTTGATTACGTTGTAGCTTAAACCATTGTAAAAGTGCCATGTCAACTTGTTCTTGCAAGGACACTCTCACACGTTTAGGTTATAGAACATTTGCATTGAACAAAGGTTATATAAAACAGCATAAACACTCACACCTGTAGCCTTGAGGGGTAAGCAGAGACTACGGACTTCCATTTGGCACGATCCTGACATAAGGTTATATCTTGTGTTTATTTTTCTTAATTGTGGACGTTGTCTAATAATTTACACCGAATTTCTCCGCAATCGTTACATTTGACTCACCAGCTTCTAAACATTGTATTATAAACACATGTATCTTCAATGGAGAATTTTTTTCGTTTCTAGAAGCCATTTTTATATGCCTACTCACTTCTTACCTTTAAATTATGTGCTGCCGAAAAATAAACAGTCCCATTCCAATCAGCAATGTGCTGGCAAGAGGGGTGCGCGGGGCGGAGATAGCTTCTTACAATTAATTTGTAAACATGTCAACGCTCATCGCTGTACTCGATGATTATATGTGAAATTCTGTCATTCAAAGTGGTCAGTTGTTGTAAGCTTACTCACTCCTTGCCTTTAAATTATATACTGCCAAAAAATAAACAGTCGCATTTCAATCAGCAATGTGCTGGCAAAGGGGGGTGCACGGGGCGGAGATAGCTTCTTACAATTAATTTGTAAACATGTCAAAGCTCATCGCTGTACCAGAGGATTATATGTGTAATTCTATCATTAAAAGTGGTCGGTCGTTGTAAGTGGAGTTGTAATAAACGGATGTACTTTAATTTGGCACAAATTAAAACCAAACATATGCCTATACCTACATCGCTAAAAACGGTTGGTTATTATATGCAATCATTTTAAACTGACTACACTGTATATCATCAACCAACTGCATAAAAAGTAATTGTTTTACAATGCAACTGTACACTTTCATTTGTATATATTTTATGAAATATCTTCATAAATTGTGAATCAGACTTGATGATTCTATTTTTTTTTTCAAATGGATTATACTTTAGAAGTGGTCCATGGACACATGTTTTGGAGTATAAATTCTACCCCTAAGGCTGGCAAAATAAGGGGATGAAGTTTTTATTGTAAAGATTGTGATATTTCTTAGTCTGTTCAAAAGGTAAAAGTAATAACTTTATATAAAAAGTTAAAGCCTACTTCAAAGGACTAACATGTTTATAATATTTTAAGTTAGGGCTTAAAATCAGAATTTACTATGAATAAACTAAATTCACCTATGTTTAAACAAATACATTTGCCTGTAACTACTTGTAGCCCTCTAAGCCCTAATAGATGGATAGATAAAATTATTCATCCTGTTACTGGACCATTCAACACTTCATAAAGACTACAATGATATCTTGGAAATCTAAGAGAAATATCAATTATAGTGTATAGTATAACAATATTATTGATATTTGGACGTAAGCTTTATTGATAAATGCACATTAACCTCATCAAAGATTGCTGAAAAATTACTAAACAAAAAAATTATAAAGTGTAATTATTAAATTTTTTGCTCATTCATTACTTACTAATAAAATAATTTATATATATTATGTAAATCTTTTTGACATTTTTATTACATTATACAAATGTAGTTTAACATGTTTGTCATACATAATTCTGTCCCTGTTTGTGATGAGGAAATAGATATAAATTCTATTCTATTATATTATTAGTCCTATGTCAATTTGGGACTTATAAGTTCCACATTTATAATAAAAAAGAATGTGCCTACTGTGTTACTTGCAAAGCATATCATAAAATACAACTAATGGGAGCCACCTATCACTTCACAATTTTCTATCAAAATTCAAAACCTGTATGTTTAGGCTAAACATGGTCCAAGTAGATTTGTTGTTCTTTTGAATCTGCCTACCCGATTTCGATCTTCCAATCGATTGAAGATTCTGTACAATTAAGCCCTAAATATAACAAATAAAAGAGTAAATTATAGTAACCTGACCATCCAAAATATTTTTTATTATTATTACCTCTTATACATAACTATTTGGAATAACCCAAATATAAGAAGAAATCCTCCAATGAATACCGCAGAAACTGTTTCCATAAAACATTGTGATATTCCATGGTCTATCCATATCTCCGTCAAGGTTACGTTCGGTGGACAATACTCCATTTGGGACTCTGAAAATGTTTCACATTTTTATTTTTAAATTAAATATATGATTATTACAATAGCAATTACACAATACAAATGACTTGCTAACTGGCTGACACTTTAATTTATTTTTGATATTATAAAAACTGAGTTGGAAAAAGTGAAATAACTGATAAACAAAATATAAATACTCACGCCGCAAATTGCCAATTGGCAAGCCGCAAAATAAATGTATCTGCACGTATAATAATAACGTGTAGTATTACTAACTAATCGCACGTTTAATCTGTACTGCAATTCATGAAGAGCTTATCAAAATACCTAAATCACCATTATAATCATTAATCAAATTCAAACAACATTGCCAAATTGACCATATATTTGTCTATGAAATTGACAGTTATTGACATTTTCAGGGCTGCCAGTAGAATCAACTTATTTTTACCGCTGGGTCCTTGAAATTAGTACAAATCTTATTATACTTACGGGAAAAAAGGTTAAAAAAGTTCTACGCAAATAAAATTATTATTAATATTTACTTTTAATGCAAACTAGTACTCATAACCTTTACACCTTTACATAACTTTAAGTAAAAGTAATAAACATGTACCCCAGAGAGTACATATTTAATATTTTATTTGAAATGAGGTGCCATTTTTGATCAGATTAAAATAAGCATGTCGATCTGAATTCGATTAAAAGTAAATTTAGTAGTGGCGAACCGACATTTGGATCGATCGATCTCTTTGAAGCGCACAGTGGGCGGAGAACGCACGCCAAAAATAGTAGTTCGTACTCAAACTGAGGGCGAGTAACATTAAGCATTTCTCTACTATTTTTTCAATATCAAATAAAGCACAAATTGTTGAAATAAAATGTAACTTTGGGAGTTATACGACACTGCTTCTAGTGCAAATTATGCCCCATTTCCTTTTGTTCTTAAACTTCAGTGGATCAAAACAAAGGATCAATTCATTGAATCTATTCAATAATCTGTCCAATAAGAACCGGTTCACGCTGAAGTGACTTTATATAAGTTTAAGTATTGATTCTATTGAGATTTAGATCTTTACAAAAATCATGAAAATGAATAAATTTAAAATATACCTACTTGTAATCAACGATTAATTTTTATAGGATAGGTGATAAACGAGCACACAGTCCACCTGATGGTAAGTGGTTGCCGTAGCCCGTAGACATCAACAGCTAACCACCATTACGAATCAAAATGCAGATGTGTTGTCGCCCGTGAAGACTAAGATGGAATGTCTCGTTTCCAGTAAAAAGGGTCTCCATTTCTCTACACTCATCATACAAAACACAGCAGCATTAAGCTACTATCTTTTTCTGGTATTTTGATAGAGAGCGTGGGCCTTTCCTGGTCGAGTCGACCCATTCGTGATTCGTGCTACAACTATACTACTATAATTGATAGAATCAGGCGTTACTTTGCGGAAATCCATTATAATAAAAAATAAAAATATAAATTTCTTTGCAAAGTTGCAAAGTTGCGGAAAGTTGCAAAGAAATTTATATTTTTATTTTTTATACTACTATAAATGCAGCACGGCTCTACCTCGTTTAAAGTTCAATCTTTGAATATTTTATTAACAAGGTGAAAAAGTTCACCTGACGGTAAGTGAATGCTGTGGCCCCATAGACATCTACATTTATCATATTATATCGATTAATAATCAAAATTTAGATGTGTTGTCAGTTGTTAACCCTGAGGACTAAGATCGACTTGATCGTCGTGGTTGATCGAGTGGTGTAGCGTGCTTTAAACGGGTAATGTGTATCAAAATTTGTTAGTGGGCCCCACAGATTACCCCTAATAGACACCGCATCATGGACAATTTGTTATGTTTCGATTTCACTTAATTTCGTGTCAAATGCACTGTGATTGTGTGTGGATGCGCTGTGGTTGAGTGCTTGGATAATTCTAGGTTAAACTTAGAATGCTCCGAATCACAGTGATCGGACAGAATTGAGACGTTGATCGATAAATTTGGGATTTATTGATTTTTGATAAATAAATAAAATGATCAATTTTTATTTGAAATTAATTGAAAATTAAAACAATATATATATATATATATATATATATATATATATATATATATATATATATATATACTTGTACATATAATCTAATCATTTCTTAAATTTACGTGAACGCTACACATTGAATAAAACTATATATACGGAATTTATCGCTTTTAATTAACTTATGGTCACGAGGAGGGGGGAGACTGAGATGTTTGACGTCGAATGTCATAGTTAGCCCAGCTACCTCAGTTTTGAATATTGATTTTTTGATCTACATGGTTGAGATGATCAACATAGAACGAGCTTAAATTTATTGAAGTCTTACAATGGTATGCTTGGGATTGGGTAGATTTTGCAGATGGTAGGTGGTAGCACCCATCCATCGACTGTGGGCGGCTTCACTCAGTCGCTGTGACGTAGCCGTGGGACCCATAGCTTGGTGTCTTGCAATACTTGCTTGACGTGCTGAAGCTCGGCGGCCAGATGTTTTCTGTTACAGATCCCTTGTGCTCCCTGAAACAAAGATTTATAAACGGTAGCTAACTGTGAAGAATTAACCATCGATTCACCATTTAAATATCGGTTGGTATGGGTCTTTTTCCTATACACAATGTGACCAGTAGTGTTATCAGGATTGCGGATGACTGAAACAATTTAGGAAAGCTAAAGAATTATTTGTCCCTAACTCCATTGTGAGTTGTATTTTAGTTTATGGAGTGCCTTAAAATGCAGTTGCTTTGTTAGATGGTAAAATTGTGGGAGTGTCGTCTACGTACCGCTTGTAGAATCTTGGATTCACAGGAGCAGTAAGAAGGGCTTTCATCCTCAAAGTCCTCCATGAATATGTCAGCGACTATAGGAGATACAGGTGAGCCGATGGCCACACCGTTATCTTGCTTGTAGAACTATTTCTTCCTCAATAAATAGCCAGATGTGAAGCATTGTTTGAGTAATACTGCACATTCTGCAGGCATGTTGTTATCTTCTAGCTTCCTAGTTACAATTGAGATTCGACGTGTAACATTCGCCCAAATATTAGAATATCACGTTTCAATCAACCACTTAATGCTATTACTTATTGTGTAATCTACATTTGTACTATACTTTAAAAAAATTTAAAAGTCCATACTAAAACTGGCAAGTATAGAGATGGTATAGCGGAATCCAACAGCCTTCTACGGTTTGTCACAAAATCTTCTTGCAAACCACACTCTTCTCTTATCACACAATTTCTCACTCTGTCATTTAGATTCAGACCTAACATACTCCTTAACGACCGCAACTTTCACTACCATACGTTAAAACAGGGAACAACACAGCATGGTGAATTGCCATACGTACCTTTTATGACATATTTTGACTCTTCACAATAGAGTGTAGGGCCCCATTTACTCTATTTCCTGCGTTCACTCGTCGTTCTATATACTTATCACATCTTCCATCCCTGCTAAATATGCAACCCAAATATACAAACTCATCTACTTGCTCGATCAACTCCCCTTCTGTTCTTATTTCACATATCGTTTTACTTTCTTCTCTTTCAAAAACCATAACTTTCGTCTTAATTGTGTTCACTTTCATACCCCTTTCTTTTATTGATCTGTTCATTAATGTAACCGTCATTTGCAACTCGGCCGCCAACGACGCAGGAATAACTTGATCATCGGCGTACAAAAGGCATTTGGCGGTTAACTCACCCATTCTTAATTCGCATTCTTTAAGTTTCAAATTTTCCAAACAACTGTCCATAAATAAGTTGAACAGCCACGGGGAAGCCACACAGCCCTGTCTGATACCTTTATGGATGCCAAACTAGTCCGGGTAGACCCCTTTGATCATAACACAAGCATTAGAGTCCCTATAAAGATACTCCAATGTCTGTATCACGCCAACGTTCAACCCAAATGACTTCATCAAAAAAAAAATAGTACCGTTAGAATTACCAGCTTTTGTTGCTAGTAAATCTAGCCATGCTCTCTTCTTTGCTTCAACTTCCATACGTATCTTATCATCCCACCATAACGTATTATTTTTCCTTTCATTTCTTCTCTTACTAAAACCACATACTTCGGTAGCTGCATCCACTAAACCTTTCTTAACATTTTGCCATACATTCTCCAAGTCTAACAAATTCATACGTAATTCATTCAAACTACTTATATTGACTTTCAGGCTACATTTGAACTTTTTTTCTCACCCACATCTTGTAACCTTTCTGTTCTAATATGCTGTAACGCAGTGGTAGACACAGATGAACGATGGCGCCAACGCCTGAATAGACCATTAATTCGGCATAAAACCAAATAATGATCCGTTCTTACGTTAGAGCCCCGGTAAACCCTTGTATCCACCACTGCGTCCCTCATTCTTTCATCAACAATTATGAAATCTATCATGCTTCTATCATCACCTCTTTCCCAAGTATACATGTGAATCCTCTTGTGGCGAAAGTGTTCGTCACAAAAAGATTCTTTTCCATACATACGGTGAGGCTTTCACCATTCTCATTTATACTTTCATCACCAAACGTTCCCAATATCCTTTCATAACCAAGCCTCCTTACCCCAACCCTTCCATTAAAATCTCCTAGCATAATAACATTTTCATTTCCCTTACATTTCATTAACACCATCCTTACCATTTCCCAAGACTGCTCTCGGATATAAGTGGGCTTAGACACGTCTGGGGCGTAGACCCCACATCTTTAAGCCCACTTTCATTCGTATCCATAGCAGTCTTGCTCTTACACATTCATACTTTTTCACACATTGGCCTATTCTTTCTGAAAGGATGATACCTGCTCACTGGCATGCCCGCTCGAACTCATCTACACCAGACCAGTACGCGGTATACATGCCATGTGCAGTGACATCCTTCCCCTTCCGTTTCGTCTCATTTACACATAACACATATATTCCTCTAACATACATCATATCGCATACTTCATCCATTTTATCATTCATTGCTCCACATACATTCAACGTAGTCAGACGGGCCTCCGCAATCCACTTTTCGCCCCTCCGGGAGACTGAACCTGACGGGTGGCGAACCTCATTAAAGGGGCGACGGGAACTCGGGCGCCATTTCTTTTATTTGATTCCTCGTGGTGTGAAATATGAGGTGGTATATTTTACGTCGCTACCACGGCGAGGAGCTGAGTCTGTGCTA